CACATAACATATCTTAATCCTTTTTTCATCCCCTTTCACTCCCCTCTTTCTTCCTCCTCTCATGATCCCCTTATCATTTGAGAAAGATGTCTCCCTACTTCTCACTATCTGTCTCGGTTTTTGCTCTTTATTTATATTTTGTGTTTCTCAGATAACAGAAACCATGTGTTATAATTTGTGTCTGGATGTCCCCCCAAAGCCTCATGCAGTCATGGGGAGGGTTTCTAGAGTTTGTGATTGATCCATGGTCTAATGCTGAGATTAAGGATCTGAGTGCTACACCTGCTCTGGGGTACGCAGGTTTCATACAATATAATGGCGGGAAAGAAGCTTGCTCGCTGCTGCTGCTCCTCCCTTTTTGCTCTTGTTGCCTTTGCTGTTTTCTGCCACCATGAACTGTCGCCCTCAGCCATGTCACTGTACCTTGAAGTCAGCCAAGTATGGACTGAAACCTTCACAAACTGAGCTAAATAAAGCTTACCTTTCTTAATTCTTGGCATCAGATATTTTGTCTCAGTAATGAGAGGAAAGTAGGGAAGACATCATGTGATATTTAAATTCATGTGTCTGATTTATTTCCCTTAATATTAAAATCTCAAGGTGTATCCAATATCCTATACATGACTCAAGTTTATCTTTATTTATGGCAAAGTAGGAATTTATTGTGTGTAAAAATAATATTTGCATTATCCATTCATATATTAATGGACATATAGGCTGCTACCAAGATTTAATTTATGTGCTTCTACAAATATGGATATATACATATCACTATAATATGATGTCTTTAGCTCTTGAGATGATATCTAGAAGGGAAATAGTGGGGTCAAATGCAATATCTACATTAGTTTTTTGAGGGATCTACATATTAATTTCCATAGTTGTATTATTTTACATTCCCACCAACAGTGTAAGAGGGTTCTTTTTCCCCTACAGTCTCATTAGCATTTATTATTATACAATTTCTTGATGATAGTGACTCTCTTGGATAAGGTGGAATCCCAATACCGTTTTAATTTGTACTTCCCTAATGCCCATGTGCAGTCGAACATTTCTTCATGTATTTTTTGACCATTTGTAGTTCTTCTTCTTCTGAGAAGTGTCCATTCATTTCAAAAGCCCATCTTTTTTATTGGATCTTACATTTTAGAAGTTCTATGTTTTTATATATTCTAGAGTTAGTCCTCTGTCTGAGGAATAGCTGGCAAAGTTTTCCCTTTTCTGGGTTGCTTTTTCACTCTTTTTTTTCTATGAGGAAAGTTTTTAATTTGATATTATCTCATTTGTTCTTGGCACTGTATTTATTGTATAACTGGGGTTCTGTTCAGAAAGTCCTTGCCTATGTCTATAACTTCTCAAGTTTTATCTATTTTATCTTCCAGTAGATTATCTGTTTTAACATTTAGATCTTTGATTTACTCTGATTTTAGTTTAGTACATGATGAGAGATATGGGTCTTGATTCAATCTTCTACATGTGGATGTTTTCCCAGCACTGTTAAAGGGGCTGTCTTTCCTCTAGTGTACGTTTTTGGCCCCTTTGCCAAAGAGCAAATACTTTAACGTCCTTGGGATTGTTTCCGCATCCTCTATTCTGTTCCACTAACCCTCATGTCCGATTCTGTGTTGGTACTATGCTGTTTTTATCACTATAGCATTGCATTATAACTTTAAATCCAGGATTGCAATACCATTTTCTTTGCTCCGATTTAGCCAGCATTGTTTTTGCTGTTTTGGGTCTCTTGTGGCTCCATATAAATTTTGGGGTTTTTTTTCTCTAGTTCTGTGAAGAATATTGTTATTATTTTGATTGAGATCTTACTAAATCTGCATAGCACTATTGGAAGTACTGCCATTTTGACTATACTACTTTGTGAAGTGTTATGGTTTGTGCCTAGATGTCCCTCAAAGCCTCAAGTGCTAATAGGGTTTTTTCATAGGTGGTTGAATTTAGAATGTGTGATGCTGGGATTAAGGGTGTGTGATTAGTAAATCAGTCCACTGATTGATTTGCCATAGTTCTGGCTAGGATTAGGGATGTGAATGCTATAACCACTGTAGGGCAGATAGACTGCACACAATATAAGGGACAGAAAGAGTCTTGTTTGACCCCTCCATCCCCCATTGCTTTTGTTACCTTGTGGGCACCATGAACTGTGCTCTCTGAAATCCACCTGCCGAACCACCCTACCTTGGAGCCAGACAATTATGAACTGAAACCTTCACAAATTGTGAGCTGAATAAATCTTTATCCATTTAACTTTGGGTGTTGGGTATTTTGTTTCAGTAACTTGAGAAAAATAAATAACGCACAAGCCTATATGCCAATAAATTGGAAAATTCAGAAGAAATGAATAGATTCCAAGATAGATACATATGAATTACCCAAACTGAACCAAGAATGTATAAAGTTTCTGAATAGTCCAGGAACAAGCAATAAAATTGAAGCAGTAATAAAATACCTACCAGCTAAGAAAAGCCCATATCTGGACAGGTCTACTGCTGAATTCTACAAGAACTTCAGGGAACATCTAACACCAATACTCTTCAAACTCTTTAATAAAATTGAAAGGGAAGGAGTTCTCTCAGAGTAATTCCTGGAAGCTAGCATTATCTTAAGTCCAAAACCAGACAAAGATCCAACCACAAAAAGAGAATTTAACGTTGGCCCAAGTCTTTAATGAAAATAGATACTGAAATCTCAATAAGATACTGGGCAAATAGAATGCAATAAATCATTAAAAGACCACATATTATGACCAAGTTGGCTTCCTCTTTGATATGCAAGTGTGTTTCAATATATGCAAGTCATAAATGCAATGCATCATATAAGCAGAAGCAAGGACAAATATCACACAATGATCTCAATTGATGCAGAAAAGTCCTTTGACAAAATCTAATATCCATTAATGATAAAAACAATGAAGAAAATAGGTATAGAATTTTATCTCGATCTGATAAAATCCATTTATGACTGACCTACTGCCAACCTCATATTAACTCAGAAAAATCTGAAAACTTTTCCCCTAAAATGAAGATCAAGTTGAGGATGTCTGCTATCACACTCCTGTTTAACTTAGTACTAAAAATATTAAAGCAATCACCCATGAAAAAGAAATAGAAAGTATATTTATAGAAAGGGAATCACTCAAATTATCATTCTTTGCAGTTGACATAATCCTCTACATTGAAGACCCAAATATTCCACCAAAGACTCCTAGAATCAATACACTATTTCAGCAATGTAGGAGGACACAAAATCAACATAAAAATCAATAGCATTCTCATATACCAATAATGAGCTCACTGGGGAAAACAATATTCACAACAGCACAAGTAAAAACTAAATATTTACAAAGCAATGTAATCAGTGAAGGAAAAGGGCTCTACAATCAAAACTACACTGCTCTGAAGAGGAGATCAAAGAGGGCATCAGAAAATTAAAAGATATCACCGTTCCTGAGAAGCAGAACCAATGTAGTCAAAATGGCCATACTTCTCTCCCCTGCTAATAATTATACATCTAATTTCCATTTCCTTCTTGTTTAGTTTTTCTTCCACAGTCCAGTTGCTGAAGTTTTTCCACATTCAGGCACTGTGTCCACTGCAATTTACAGACTGTCATCATCAAAATCTCAAATATCCTCAAACTTACGAATGAGCATTTTCATTATCATTGCACATTAAGCCACATCTGCTTCCCCTGAAACTATCTCATACAGGGGCTGTTCATTTGTTCTCGTGAACCTCTGGGTGTAGGGGGAGACCTTGCTCCTCATTTCAGACTCCAGACTCCTCTCCCCACCCTACTGCCTCCCCTCAAAGAAGCCACATATTGCATGTCATGGGAGTGTAATAGTATAATTCATTGCTGTACTCATACCGATGACAGCGCTTTCCCAGTGAGCTCAGATCCCCTTTCATGTTTCAGTGCTTCCCCTCCTTGCTTTGATTTTTTTTATTTTTAATACATCCAGCCAAGAAGTTTCACATTTCATAAGCCTGAAATTTAGGTATGCATTTAAATGCCTAAATCGGTTCCGACCTGTCTTTCTAATCTCAGTTGTTTTTTTTAAAAAAATAGAACATACTTAATCATTTGGGAAATCCTATTGGCCTGAAAAATGTTTGTGGGAAACACGTAGTTTTAAGTAGTTTGCTTCTGTCCACTATAGTTTGGATCTCAAATGGCTCTCAAATGCCCACATGCTAAATGTGTGATCCTCAGCTTGTTTGAGAGGTGAGACCTAGTAGGAGGAAGTGATGTCCGTGGGTTGTGCCTTTTGAGGGAATATTGTGATATTGGCCTGTTCTTGTCTCTCCTGCTCTCTGTCTCTCTGTCTCTCGCTATCTCTTTCTGTCCCTATCTCTCTCCCTCTCTTTTTCTCTCTCTCTTTCTTCCTGTGCCTGCTTCACAGCTGTAATGAAGTGCAGAGATTTCCTTTCCTGTGCTCCTGCCTTGATATGCTGCCTTGCCACAGGCCCAAACCCCAAAGATCAAATAGTTATGAACTAAAGCCTCCAAAAGTTGTAATTCAAAATAAATTGTTCCACTTTTTAGGAACATTTACCTCAGGGGTTTGTTACATAATTGAAAGCTGTCCAGCACACTGTCCAGTGACCAGCTCGTACTCCCTGAACTTGCAACTCAAACTCTCCCTTCTACATTCCAAGCTCCTTCTAAGTGCTTTGGGAATTATACCTTCCCAGAGAACTCAGTACTGTCCCTGTGGATACTCTCCCTGTATAGTGCACTACAAATCCATAGTTTACTAACTGCCACTCCTGCTACCCTTCCTTCATTCATTCTCTTCACTGTAAGGGATATTGACATACTGACTTTCCTTTCAGAGGGAAGAACAAGAGCAGACAAACAGAAACATATCTTACATTCTTTTGTTTTGAACCACAGCCCTTCTGTATGACCTGTCAGTCTTCTTGCAGCTTTAAAATCTTTTCTTTCTTTGTATCCATGAGATACAAAATGATGAAACAAGTAAATTTAGTTTTTGACATGTATATCGAGTTTTATTAGCCTCAGTTTCATAACAGAAAATACTTCTAAAAATTTTATTCTCCAGGATGATTTTTGGAAGTTGGTGTTTGTGTTTTGAGACACAATGGATAGCATGTACACTGGTCTAAAGAGCTGTCTGATTGTGGAAAAGGACTCCTTTAATGATATCTAACACTATGAATGGTCTTTAAAGACATCATCATAGTGTCCTTTAATCCTTTGATTCAGGTATTTGTCCTTAAGAAAAGAACGAGAGGATTGGGGATATGGCTCAGAGGCATAGTGCCTGCCTGGCTAGTGCAAGGTCGTGAGTTTGATTCCCAGTACCAACCAAAACAAAACAAAACAAAACAAAACAAAACAAAAAATATCAAATTGCTAAAAAAAAAAAAATCCAACCATCTTTGATACAGTATTTTAATAACCTGGTTACATTTGTCAGTACTCTGAAGAAAATCAGGAAATATATTAAATAAGTAATAAAGGGAAGAATTTAAAACAAAAGATAAAATATTAATGAATAATCTATTTTCAGAGTCATGTCTAGAATAAATAAGAATGCAGGAATAACTCCTAAGTAGACTAAGAAAATGTAGGCCTTGTTCAAATGAAAGTAATACATTTAAATTGAATATTTCAGTGTTCATAAACAGAATGACCTTTCAGTTTGCATAATTCTAGTGTCAAAATTCAATAAGATTAAGTGGATTTTTCAGAAAAAATGATGTGGAAAGCATAGGCTTTCTTTTATGAGTAAAAAGAGATATTGCTATTTTTAAAATAAAAATAAAGTCAACTGTGAAGTCCTATGTAAGGACTTGTTATGGCTCTCCTAGGAATATCAAGTGACACTGTGACATCTCAGAAATATTATCAGTGAATATTTTTATCTTAATAAAAATATTTTTGAGGTTCCTAAAGGCAAGAAAAATTATCTGCAGTGCCTCTAATGATTTTAAAGTAATTAAATTGTACAGTGCTTTCTCCAGCTCTGGGAAAGCTGCTAGAACAGGGCATTATAGTTTTGTTTTCAATTCTTCATCATTCAAGGCCTTGGAATTTTGGTGTCCATCTTTGCACTCAGTTTCCTTTTCTGTAACTTTTGTGTCTGCAAGCTCAGTTCCAGCAGAGTCATTTTCACCAGGTAGATGCCGTTTCCTCAAAAGAATTAGGGTCAAGAAGGCTGGAAGAAAGCTTAATCCTCTTAGTCCTGCAGGCAGTCCAAGGTAGATGTGCCTATTTAAAACAGTATTCAAACATATTAAGTCTTACACAAATAATGCGGTCAGTACAAACGAATTTTGTTTATTTTATATATACTTTATTACCTTAAGAACAATGGCAGCTATTATTTTGCCTGTCAATCTTTTATAAGTAACTTTGCTGGATTAAATTCAATATTTGTTAAACTGTGTTTTTCATTGTCTACTAGAAAGTCCAAATTTATTTTCTTTACTTGTAATCATTTGTTAGTATTCTTGCATTGAGTAGAACTTCCATTTTAAGCATAATGCTGACAAGGACAGCCATGTTTGTACCCACTATTTAATAAAAAAGTCCAAAGAATCAACACTAATTATGGTATATATTTGGGGGGTATTTTTTAAAGGAAATTTTTCTGTTCTGAGTTTGCTCAAAGTTTTAATCATGAATGTACAAAATATCACATCATTATTCTACACAGAGAGACAGGCAAGATTTTTCCAACTTTATATTTATAAACTGTTAAACCAATAGATTTTTATGATGTGAGACCAATCTTGCATCAATAAATAAACCTCATTAGCCACTGTTATGAATTAGTAGATTCAATCTGCTAATTTTCACTGAGAAATTTTGCATCTATACTTATGAGATTAGCTTGTAAATTTGGTTTTTGTATTGAACTTATCCAGAGTTAACATTAGGATTGTACTAGCTTTATAAAAGGAATTGGGAATTCTTCTCTTTTTTCCTTTCCTTAGAATAATTCATATAATGCTGGAATCATCAGTTTGTTGCACATTGGATAAAATTTGCCTTAAATTTTGTGGACTTGTACCTTTGGGTGGTAGGTATTTTTTAAAGATCATTTTATTTTATTTTAAACAGAATAAAAGACAAAAAAATAAAAATTGTAAAGAATTTCAAAACAAGGTGATAAGAAATTAACAATGGTTATTATTTTGTTATCTTCAAAGTAGTTGCTCAGATTACCAGATATAGGCATGTAAAATTGACCAAACAATATAAACACTAACTGCTCCTTTCAATGAACTAATAGAAATTAGCAGTGCAATTATCTTAGCTCTATTGTACATATCTTATAAATAAAAATTAGAGCTGGGAGGGTAGCTCCGAGTGTTTGTCTAGCACATGAAAGGTCCTGAGTTCAATCCCCGGCAACACAAAAACAATAAGTTAGGTATAGTTCAAATTATAGGAAAGAGAAAATAAAATGAAAATCTCACTGTCCAGAGGTAGCTTCTATCTACAAGTTAGGAAAACTCTCACTATGCATATTATGTAAATAGAGAATAAGAATATAATTTATTTTTTCTTTGTGGTACTAAGGATTGAATCCAAACCTTGCAATACTAGGCAATTGTTCTACCACTGAGCCATTTTTCCAGCTCTTTCTAAATCTTGAAACAAATACTTTCTAAATTGCCCACACTGGACGTTAGTTCATGAATTTTTTGCCCCAGCCTCCTGAGTACCTGGGGTTGTATATTTTTTTCCTTCTTTCTTTTCTCCTGTCCTCCATCCCAGTTGTTCTTTCCTTTTGAATATTTTCTTTCCCTTTCACAATAAGATGATTTATACTTCTATAAAGCTACAAAAATAATCATGTTTTCTGTATATTTATTGTTAAATTTGCTCATTTATTCTGGCCTAGGAAATTCTCTAATATATTTCCAAATTTTTATTTCTGAAACCTGCAAGTATCTGGTATCCTTTTATTATTCTTAACAGTGTTTATTTCTGCCTGCTGTGTTTACTTGCTTATCCAGATTATTGTTATTATTATGGTCTCATCTTTCCCAAAACATAGATTTTTATTTGTTGACTGTTGATAGGAAGAATAGCTTATGTATTAATTCTTCCTTATTATCATCTTTCTGCATCTACAGTTTTCAAGAGTACAGAGAGAAGCACACCAGTGACTGGATATAAGCCTCACTATAGCCCATTATGTCCTCATTTTAACTAATTCCATTTATTAGGACTATGTTTCCAAATAAGTTAATATTCTGAAGTTCTAGGTGGACATGAAGCATTGAAGCACATTTCCTAAGCCAGTACAAAGTTTTTTACCTTATCATTTTAATTGCAACATGAAATCTGCACCTTGTCGTGACTCACTGGAAGTAGTTTATTATCTCTTTGGAAGCGGATATCCCAGAATTCTATGTCCATTTCTAGACTTACAGGTCTCCTCAGTCAGCCTTTGAATTCAGTTCTGTTTACTCTTTCATGTTCCTGTTTAATTTTAGTTTGGGACCAGATGTCCAGAATGATAGCTACATTGTCTTTGAACCTAGCTATGTCCCTTTGGGATTTTAAAACCATTGTATCTATTATTCCTACTTGGGATAGGAAACACATTAGTATGTAATCAAAGAATTATTTATGTGAGGTTTATATTATATTATGTTGTTATTGTATATTATATTTACATTATTATAAAGTTATATTTATATTATTTATATAGAGAATTATTTATGAGACTGTTCTGTTTTATCTCTTTTTGTTGTACTTTGTCTAAATCCTGAGTTCATTTAGTCCTTTAAAAATGTATGTACTTGAATATATCTAAAAACTCCTTGATTAGCTTCAAATTTTCTATTTAATGCTTTTATTGACATAGAGTTCTAGCTATTCAATTAGTCTCAATATAATTTATTCTTTTATGCATAATTAATTTAAAACTGTGTCCTTTCTCTTTCTGAACATTTAGGGTTTTGACATTGTTTTCATTCCAATTCTAATCCCATGGCATTTGAATAGAAAACTGAATTTATATGTTGTCAAAAGTTTGGTTTTTCAAAAGTTTTCTTTGTGGCGTAGGACCTAGTCAGTTTTTATAAATGTTTAATATAGGCTTCAGAAGAATATATGTTCGGTTTGGTTAGTAAATATCTACATCTATTAAATTACTCATATAATTTGATAATTCAAATATTCTATATACTTATGTGAATTTTTAATGATGACTGATTTGCATATGTTGAACTACGCTCACACTGATGGAATTAAATTAATTTGATTACCATGTGTAATCTTTATGACATAATTTTGAATTTGACTTGTTAGTATTTTGCTGAGAAATTTTATATCTGTGCCCATCAGAAGTACTGGATTAAGGAAACTGGTCATAGCCACACTGAGAGATGAAATTTGGGGCCACATATAAATATATAAAATATAGTTAATGTATGTATACAATGCAAGTATAGTTTATACTTATATAATTTATAACGCACAAAAAGTATTTTTTATTTTCATATTTGTTATTAAAAGTTTTTTAAAAGGGCAGGAGTCCTGCAAACTGCAGGCTGGACATGAAAATATTAGGTCCAGGATTTGTGTGTTTGTGTGTGTGTTATGCATTTCTTTTCTTTTAATGTTGTGTCTATGTAATATTTTGGTACCATGATAATGTTGGCCTCATAGGATGAGCTTGGAAAGATTCTCTCCCTTTCTGTTTTATGTAATTATTTGTGAAGATTTTGTATCAGTTCTTTAAGAGTTTTGTAATATATAGAAGAAGGGCCATCTGGTCTTACACTTTTCTTTTTGGGATGCTATCACTTTTTCCAACTCAGTGTTTGTTATTAATTTATTCAGAATTTTTATACCCTCACACTTCAGTTTGGCCAGATCATGTGTTCACACATTTTTCCATTTGTTTAGATTTTTCAATTATTTTAGCATATGGTTTGTGAAAATAATCCCTAATGATACTTTGTATTTGTGTAGTATCAATTGTAAATCTCCTTTAAAATTTTTTTTTTTATTATTTGTGTTCCCCCTGTTATAGTTGGATAGGTAGACATAAAAACAAATACAAAAATATATCCTCTCTCCTCTCTTTCTCCCTCTTTCTCTCTCTTTTGGTCTAGCTAAAGATGTGTCAATATTTTTATCTTTTTGAAGAACCAATAATTTGTTTTACTTAACTTTCTATTTTTTTAAGTCTCCATCCATTTATTTTTGCTTTGATCTTTTTTTTTTTTCAGTACTAGAACTTGAATGCAGGCCTTCACACATGTAGGCCAGCGTTCTATCACTGAACCACTTTCTCAGCATTTCTGTTTCTTTACTTCTATTATTTCTGTGTTTTGTGTTGTAGAAAAACTTGAGATGCATCATTAGTTTGTTTATTTGAAATCTTTCTTCTTTTATGTTATAAACTTCCTCCCTAGTAGTGTTTTCACTGCTTCCCATGGGTTTTGGTATGTTGTTTTTCCATTTTGAGACTAGAAAACTTAATTTCCTTTCTAACTTTGTGAAGGACTCACTATTCAAAAGCATTATTTAGACCCCATTTATTTTTCCATTTTTAAAGGTTTTGTTGTTGAAATCTGGTTCTATTTCATTTGGATGTCCAAAAGATACAGAGTATGATTTCATTTTTAAAACTTTTTATAATTATTTTGTGGTTTAATGTATGGTGATTTGTTCTAAAGAAAGTTAGATGTGCTGATGAGAAGAATATGCATTCTGCATCTATCTGATGAAATGTTATATCTGTTGAATCCATTTGACCTGTAGTGCAGTTTAACTAAGATGTTTCTTGATTTTTTTTCATATAGGTGATCTATCCATGGGTGAGGTAGGACACTGAAATCTATGTGTATGGTATTGGAGCTTATCTCTCATTTTAGGACTAGTAGTCTTTGCTTTATAAAATTGAATGCCTCAACATTATGTTTTTATATATATATATATATATATATATATATATATACATATTACATATACTATATCTATATTACAAACACATATACATGTATATATTTGTAGTTGCTGTATCTTGACAAATTGTTCCTTTAATCATTATATAGTGACTTACTTATTTTATTCATAAAGCCTATTTTCTCTTTTAATGTGGCTACTGCTACATGTTTCAGATTTCACCTTCTTTAAATATCATTTTCTATCCTTTCACTTCCTGTTGTCCTCTGTTATAATTTAGAATTTAAATGTCCCACAAAGGTCATGTGTTGAAATCTTAGTCCACAGATAATGGTATTGCTGGGAAGACAAGGAGCCTTTAGAGGTGGTGTTTAGTGGAAGTGAGGGCGCTGAGGCACACTCTTGGAGTGCGTAGTCGGACCCCAGCACCTTTCTCTCTTTTCTCTCTCCCCTGCCCCATCAATATCCCCTATCTTCCACCAGATTCCTCATTATTAAACACCATATTCAATATCCACAATTTAAAGGAGAAAAGGCTTAGTTTAGTTCATGCTTTAAGGAGATTCAGTCCATGGTCAGATGGCTACAAGGCAGAAACATCATAGCAAAAGGGCACAATGGAGCAAAAGTGCTTAGTTTATGATGTCCAAGAAGGACAGAAGGGGGATAGTTGCCCCCTAAAAAAAGAAGGGGCGAGAACCAGATATGGTATTCAAGGTCAAACCTTCATGACCCATCCAGAGTACCCAGAAGGGTGCTGCAACCATTCCCGGGCAACTCTCAAGACAATCCAGTTGACCCAGTTAAGCATATCCATCGCCCTCTCCTTCCTGGCTTCCACAAAGTGATCAGATTTACTCTACCGGGCACTTGTTACCATGATTTTCTGCCTGAAGGTAGGTTTCAAAAACAAGCAAGCCAATTGACCATGGGTGGGAAGGTATGAGCCAACATAAATCTTTCCTCCTTGTAAATTAATTTCTTCAGTGTTTTGTGCCGACAGGGAAAGCTAACACAGAAAATCGGTACCAAGAAGTGGTGTCATTGTAGCCTCAGACAGGGCGATATCTGAAGCTCTGAAGGTGAAAATGCAAGTTGCAGAGGAAACCCGGAAGTGAGAGATCCTAGGAACCTGAAAAACCTTTTGAAGTAGAACGTGTAAGCAGTAAGTGGAGCCAGCCTGAGAGCCAGCGGTAGGAGAGAGGCTGCCCGAGGCTCATCAGCAAGTTAACCCATTGTGGAGTTTACAGCGCAGTGCACTTTTAGGAGGTGAACCTGGCTGATAAAAGTGAGTCACGGGGACGTGGCACTGGAGACTCTATCTGTCCCCTGTCCCCTTTCTCTCTATTGTTCTTCCCCTGTTTTCTGCTCCCGCCTGCCATGCACTAAGCAGCTTCGTACCACTGTGCCTTCCTCCCATGCTGCTCCTGTCTTGGGGCCATGGGCTGACACTGAACCAAAAGGAGCCTCTCTTTGTTTAAGTTGCAGATGTTTGTCGTTTGGAAAGCCACGCAACACAGCAAGCTCTCCAGTCTTCCAGCTTTTGAAGGCAACACCCTTCGCTCTTCTCTGTATGTCGCCACCCCTTCCCATAGTGCAATACTCTCAGTGGGTTTATGTCAGAGTCGCTGTATTGAGACAAGATTGGCTTAGGAGACAGCTACTCACTGAGCTAGGGCAGTGGGATTTCTGACGGAGTGTAGGAAATGGAATCTGTAGGGGTTTTAACCCCCCGGAGAAACCAAAGTCAGTCAATGAGCCCTTCTTGAGATGGCTCCTTATTACATAACGTGTCCAGGAGTTTTTTGGGATATGACATGAAACCCTTTTCTAAAGTCAGGCTACTGTGCCAATCTGTCTGCATATCTCTGAGGGTTGTAAAACTAGTAGCTAGCGTTTCCATCATCCATGTCGACAGAATTTGCTACTGTTCTTTCTGTCACACTTAGCCCTGCAGAAGGGAGACTGTCTGTCCCCTAGATGTGAAGATGCTTCTGCAGGTGCTGGGGATTTTGTTTCTCCTACTACATATGCCATTGCTCCACTTCTCTGGAATTCCCATCGTTCCATGCTTCTTTGTTGATTTCCTGGGCTCCCCTCAATGCACAAGTGTACACCTGTTGTTTTTTTTCTCCTTGTGGAGAATCAGGTGAGTAAACAGTGTGTCTACTCAGCCTTCTTTCTCCCTCTTAAATTTTGAAAACTTAGGTAAAAGAGCCATTCATACTTATATTTATCACTTTAGGTAAAAATAGCAAAATAAAAATGAAGTACATAAATAAGGAATGAAGTTATAACATCAATACACATTCTGAAAATAAAGCCAAAGATTGTCACTTAGATATAAGTGATGCTATTTAATGCAAGTCCATTATTAAAAAGAAGTTCTGAGAAAACTCTTTACCTGAAGTTGTCTGTATTGTATATTCTGCACGCCCCTGGCTTACCACATTTCAAAGTTCCCCAGTGTAAACAGGTAGCATCCACTAAAGCTCCAAAATATATAGGTGCTGGAATGCCAGCTACAATTGAGACAGTAAGAAGAAGGCATCAAGGTAAGAAAGAAGACTTATTATTTGAAAATATTTTCATTTTCCCCATTTGCATAACAAAATACAAAGTGAGTGCTTTGTTTCATTTCTAGAAATTATTCGATTTTTATGTAAGTTTTCTAGATTATAAAGGATATTATGTTGACTAAGAGACAATATTATTGATAGCATAAAATAATTAATGATCCTGAGTTTTATACATTTTCTGAAATGTTTTTGAATCATCATGTGTATATTTTCTTTAGATAAATCATCCCCTGCTCATTCATTTTAAAGTCTGCTAGCAGATAAAAAGTATAATTCAGTTCAGATAGGACCATTTCAGATGAAAAGGATACATTCTCCATGTGCTTATACTTTATTCTCATACTAATTGTAAAGCACTGTTTAGAGGTAGAAGGGTTTTCTGGTGGGTTCTTTTCTGAGAGAATTGTTTCGTCTTTTAAGTATTTAATACTGCTCTGATATGACATTGGGAAAAATAACTACTCATACCAAATATTCTTGTGCAAAATGTATGCAATCCCACACCAAGAGACTTCTCTTCAGACTTGATGCACCTAAAATAAATTTACAAATAAAAAATTTAAAATGACTACAATTTCTTAAAAGCACTTCTTCTACTCTATAATAAGCTCTGAATATTAGACCACATATGTTCGTGCTCAGGCCTTGTTTTTTAGGGCATGATTATCTAGTTTGAAGCCTAGATGGAAGTTACATTTCTGCCATTGGCACTTTATATGAACATTTTTGCACCTTCACTTTCCACCAGAAGTTAGCAAACAAGAAAGTACTTCATATGAATCCATTTCTATCTCAGTATCAGCCTATTGACCGTTCTTGATTCTAATGGTTAAAACTTTGGCCTAACACAAGATAATGCACTCTTACATATAGTCAAATTATTTGTATTAATGAAACATAAGAAATTTTATCATTTACATAGGTAATTGTGAGTAAAAGGAAAGCAATAATAAAAATCTTCAAAAGAACATTATTTTTAAAAATCACAAAGCAAACCTATTTTAAATGATTTGGTATAATTTTTAAGAGTTGCACAGAGATTCCTCTATTCTCTCCAAAACTTCTCTCATGTTTCCATTGTTTCCTGAAATTCATCTATGGAGAAATAAAACTGGTAAGTCTCCAAATGTATTTTTGATGTCTTCCCACACACTGTTGCACCAGCATGGCTGCCTGTTTGAAAAATTCACTTGCAGACCATCTCTGTCCTATCGTTTCTTCCTTGATTAATTGAAAACTGAGAAAATACAAGCAGATTTCCTCACAAAAGACTGCCATACATTTTTAGGAGAAACTACATTTTATTGTTTTTTGGGGTACAGATATTTTACTGGATAGAGTAGTTGAACATGCTCATAAAATGAGACATAGTTGATCAGAGGATGCCTCACAGAGAAGTTACTTAGACAATATCAATAAATTTCCTCAGAAGAAAAAATCCAACAGAACCAGCTTCATCCTCTTGCTCACCCAATTTCCTCTCAATACAGACAATAGGGCATTTAATTTTTACTGAAGAATTTTTCTTTCTATTCTTTCCTTAACATAGTATTTTTCCATCCCACAGAAGTATGAAATCCTGATAGTTTATAAACTCTAGTTTAAACTGTTCTCCAAGATTTGTCATTACTAGGCATTGACTAAAATCTTCAATTGCTAGAATATGGGATTCTGAAAGAAATTTTTTACAGTTGTTTAAAATTGGCAAGCAAATGGGCCTAATGACCTATCCCTATAACCCCTACACTTTCAAAAGCTAAGGCACAAGACTTCCAATTTCAAGCTCAGCCCAGGCAATTTAGCAAAACCATCTTAAAATTTAAAAAAAGGGCTGAGGTTGTAGCTCAGTGCAAAATCTCTAAATTCATTTCTCAGTCCAAAAAAAATAAGGAAAGGTCAAACAGTTATAGCTGTGCACCACTCCAGCGTCATGGTGTGAGAAATTTTATAACATTAGAGAAAAGGTATAGGTGTGGGTATAAAAAAACCACAAGTTAAACTGTGTACCACTCCAGCCTCATGGTGTGAGAGATTTTATAATAGAGAAAAGGAATAGGTGTGGGTATAAAAAATCCACAAGTTGAACTGTGTAAAGTGTTCTTGGTGAGCATGAAGGAAGAGAGTAGAGAAACAAACAAAACTGAAAGCATGAAGTACTTATTGGGGAGTAGATTTTAGTAACAAAAACTTTGCAAATTGAGGTTAACTATATTTGTGTTTTGCTTATCAAGCATGTTAATCATCTGAAAAGTACAACTTTTAAAGTTCAGGGGTACAGCCCAAGCTTAGCATGCATGAGGCTTTGGGTTGCATTACCAGCATCATGCACGGAAGACATTGCTAGCAGAAAAAAATTCAGTCCCTAGAGTAAAAAGCAAAAAAGTACAAAGAAAGCCTCATCTCAGTAGTTACAATAAATATCAATGGTTAAATTCAACAGTTTCAGGCTAGGAAATCAAATCTGGAAAATTGTTTATTCAGGGAAAATGAAAGTAAAGGGAAAGAAACAGAACGGGCATAAATCACAAAAAACCTAGAATTGCAATTTAAAAAGAAACAAAACAAATTTCTTAAAGAAACTATCAAAAGATAGTAATAATAAATTATGATAGTAATGAATGAATAATGATCAAAATAAACAAATGACTCAAATATTAAACTCAAGGGGCTGGGGATTTAGCTCAGTGGCACAGCGCCTGTCTGGCAAGTGCGAGGTTGTGAGTTTGATTCCCAGTACCAAAAAAAACCAACAACAACAACAACAACAACAAACCAAAAAGCAAATATTAAACTCAAATATGTAACTAAAGAACAGTAGAGCAAATTTGAAAGGGAGCAAAGTTATAAAGCCAGAAATCAATGAAACGAATATTGACAAAAATCCAAAAAAGAAAAATAGAAAATGTTAAATCTATTACTCATAAATATATGTGCCAACATTTTAAGTAAAATAATATTCAGAGAAACTGTGTACAACAATATATTATTTATATATTTTTTCAGATATGTAAATAAGTTTCAACATCAAAAACCTATCACTTTATTTCCCTAAACTTAAAGATCTGATATCACCATGACAGTTTAATGTGTTTGCAGTTCCTGGTTGATTCTCTAAGAAACATTTAAAAGTCTAAGATATGCAAAATTCATAAGTAAAGACACAGAAAGATGGAAAATCTACACAGAAATCTTAACATTAACAAATCATTACATGAAATTAAAAACTGTGTCAGGTAAAAAGTAAATTTTTAAGAACTCAACAGCACACCATCTAAAAAAGTAAGAGAAAATAGTACTACACATACAACACACATATACATATACAAAATATGGCAGAATTTAGTTGTATAAATTACATCTTTAATTTTAATTTAGTTTTATATTTATAATTTTATATAATTATAAATGGAAAAGAAAATAATGTAGATATATACACATGCTATAAATTGGTTCCATTCACAATCACAATTTATTTTTAATCTATAAACATTTAACTAATACATATAGGTCTGTATATATATATTAGTAACATACACATTTAACTACTATATATATGTCTTTATATACAAGTAACATATATATACTAGTAACATATATATATTAGTAACATTTTAGTAATATATATTAGTAATATATCTATTACTATCTAATATATGTATTATCTATTACTATCTATATTACTGTATTACTATATTATATTACTATATATTACATATCATATTACTATAATATAATATATATTATCTATTATTATAATATATATTATCTGTTATTATTACTAGATATATGTATATAATATATCTATTACTATCTAATATATATATTAATAACATATATTAGTAACATATCTTTGTAACTGAAGAGTGCGAGTATGTGCTTAAGGTATAATGAATGTATTTGGTCTTTGTGCATAGTTCCTGGAACAGAGCTCTTGGGAATTCTTGGAACAGCCTTGGAATTTCCTGAGTTATGAGAATGTCTTTTTTTCCTTTAAGGTTTCCCTTTTGATCCTACTTGAGTTTACACTGAGATCACGTAAAATGAGCTCCCTAGTTCTTGGCTCTGGTCCTAAGGAAGACCAAATGATCGAAGTTGGAAGTTTCAGTTCCAATCCCTGACCTCTGGTACGTGGGATAGGGGATGTAGGTGACTAAATTCCATAAAAGTTCTTTTATAAGGAATTGTGATAGATGAACTTTCAGGTTGGTGACCACACCTACATGACAGAAGGGTGGCATACCTCAATTCTATGGGGACAGAAGCTCCAACACTCTGAAATCTTACAAACCTTGCTCTGGCTTCCATTTGCATCTTTTATGATACCCCTATAAAAAACCTATACAATGAATAAATTATTTCCCTGAGTTCTAAGGGCCATTTTAACAATTTTCTGAAGTTAGATAAAAATTAAGAGGCAGTCAAATGGGACAGACCCTCAAATGAGTCAGTACAACAAACAAAAACACCAAAACTGTAGCTAGAGGCACATCCCATAAAGCCGGTCCTTGAGGTAAAGATACAGTGACCAGGCCTATGTGCATTCCTGGGAGATAAACTGTAACTTGAGATTTTATTGTGATTGGTATCATCTGGTCTTGTAAAGTCCAGATAGACATCACTTACCCAACTGGGTGACCAGAACCTCCAGACTCATCCCTTCCCCAAGATCCCTTTGCTCTTTCCATGAACATTTACTATATGACTTGCTCCCCTATTAGATCAGTATTAGCTAAGTGGCTATACTTTTAATCCTGTAGGTTGATTATAGTTTGACCCACTGCAATGGCAAGCAGAAACATTGAAATGACACCCAGGATTTGAAGGCAGATTCATTTATGTTGATGGGCACTGATGAGGATCATTCCCAGAATATCAGGCCCTGATCTCTGGTGGCCTAGAGCTTATCTGGCCTAAGCAAGCAGGGAGTACAGAGGCAGACTGGCTTGTCAATTGGGGATTGGTTTATACAATGTGCATCATAGTGATCAGCTATGCATTACAGTGACCAGCCATTTCTAAGAGACCAGAATCAACCAGAACTGAAACAGGAACTATTATTACCTGGGCAACTAAGAAATGGAAGTATACTGGCTGGAGGGCACATTTTCTGTTACACCACATTACATGCACATTGTGACATTGCTATATAAATTGCCCCTGATAAAAGGACTTGTGGCAACCGACTTCTGGGACCCCTCCTGACTTTCAAGAGCTATCTCTTAATGAACCTCTACTACACTTAACTTTCTTTGTCCTTTAAAATACATTCTGCAATTTCAGGAGACACAAACCTGACACAGCTAACATCTCGCAGGTTGGGAGTTATATTTCTTCTATGTCATTTTGGAGGTTCCACCAAGATAATTGGAAAAAGGCAAAAATTTGATTTTGTTTCATGACACCTATAAATGTTTTAACTGGATGCTTGACTGTGATTTGTTTAGGTAATCAGAAATTGTTTTTTATTGTCTGTTGGTTGCTTATGCCTTTTGTTGGTTGCTTGAGCCATACTAAAAGTTGAGAGTAGAAAATATTGTGATGTCTTCATATTTGGGCTTCTTTGATAGGATATATTTATTTTTGAGGCAGGATCTCAGATTTCTATTCTGCACTGGTTGCTCAATTCCTGTCTTGATTTGTGTGGCAGTTATGGGATGGTTTGTGTTTTCTTTTTTTCTTTTAGACAGTTGTTTAAAATGGCTGTTTGAATTTCTAATTGCTTTACAGCTCATTCTCACAGGTATGTCCAAGGTTAGGGGAGAAGATTTTGGCAGTTTACCACTATTATGGATGGTTGTTATCATTGTCAGTAAATGACAATGTGCTTCTCGGGGCTGGGGATTTAGCTCAGCGGCAAAGCGCCTGCCTGGCAAGTGCAAGGTCGTGAGTTCGGTTCCCAGTACTGGAGAAAAACCAAAACAAAAAACAAAAAACAAAAAAAAAACAATGTGCAAAAACAAACAAAAAAAAAACAATGTGCTTCTCTCTGCAATTCTAAAATTTTTTTTTCCTTTTTAATTAGAAGCTCCTAAACCCCTAAAACTTGAACCCCTAAACCCCCTAAAACATCTATAGTCATTTCCTTATAAAATACATAACCCCCATCCCTAGGCTGGAAGAAAATAAAGACTCATGCTCATCCAAAAAGGTACACATGAGAGCTCTGGGTGACTCAGCCCTGGGTAGGGGTTTTCTACTGGGGCTGGCAGGACCAGAAAGAAAAAAACAAAATCACTCAAGTCTCTTAATTTAGTGTAATTTTCACTGGCAATGCCTTCTTTCTTAAATATAGCTGCTATAGCAAAAATCAGTTGTAGCTTGTGCTTTTGGAAACATATAGTACTGTGGAGTTAAAAAATGTGAGTTTTCAGAGGAAGTAGGTTCATCTCAGTAACAGGGGCTAGTGCAGCCTGACATAGCTCTGGTCACTCTCCAGATAGCAACCACCTACTCTGCATCTTGTAAACCTCAGGGGATCCCCTGGGGCCATATAAAAACCAAGAGAGATTAAAAGGGATTCCTTCTTTCTTCCTTGTTGTTTTTAGATAAAAATCTCCGTGGTCAATTCCCTTATTCCTTTAGAGTGTATTTTTAAGCACTGAAAGTTGTTTGACCCTCATACTCTGAGAAAGGGCTGTCTAATATTTCTCTCCACCTATAAATTGCCTGGATATCCCCTAGAACAAAATAAAGTACAGAAGAAACTGGTAATTATGGTACTATTTAACAATAAGTCATACTGTAAGAGAGAGGGAAAATGATCAGAGATGCCTTATGTTCAGACTTGCTCTCTATTTAGAAAACAATCTTGACTTGAATTTGAGGTGTAGATGTGGCCACTAAAAAACCAGATGTCTCTGGCGCATCTACCAACACCGAGCCTGAAGTTCCCTTCCCTTGTCTTCTGTGCCCTCAGGATGAAATTTAAGCCCTTCAATTACTTTACTTTTATTTCTATTTTTTATTTTTTTTTGTCTTTTTGAGACAGAGTCTTGCTATGCAGTTCAGGCTGGTCTTGAACTCACTTTGTAGCCCAGGCTGGCCTCTAACTCGCAACAATCCTCCTGCCTCAGCTTCCTGAGTGCTAGGATTACAAGTGTGTGCCACCATGCTCCACTCAATTACTTTAAATTGTCAAGTATTGGTACAAAAAAATAAGTAGAGCCTAACAATAAAATAGTCAAAATTACTTTCCACAGTCTGTGCCTTTAGAGGGAACAGTTATATGTGCCTATAAAAACCTATATCACTGGTGGTTGCAGTAAGATAAATTGTCATCCTCTAGGTACCATCTTAAAAACATTCTTTGCTTTCACAGGCATAAGAGGGTTTCTTTTCTTCCTTACTCTTAACACAAGAGATCTTTTTTATTGATGACCTGTAAAAGAGTTCTGACTAGTTTGTTTATAGTTATAAACTAAAAATTATAAAAGGAATCATTGTCTTGGTTTCTTTTCTCTTACTGATGGGACAAAATACGCTGACAAAGTTAAAGATAGAAAGGTTTCGTTAGTTCACAGGCTGTAGAAGTTTCAGTCCATCATTAGCTGGCTCCAAGGTAGGGTGGTATGATAGAGTGGCAAAAGTTCTTGGGGGCAAAAGACAGAAAAAGCAACAAGAGCAACAGAGAGAAGCAAGCTGAGCCTCTTTCCCTCCCTTGTACTATAAGAAGACTACCCACCCTAGGGCAGGTGTAGCACTCACACCCCCACTCCCAGCACTAGACAATGAACCAAGCACAGATTCTGGATTGAGCTGCCTCTGAAAAGCCTGTCCCACATGACTACATGAGGTTTTGGGGTGTATTCAGACACAGAGCATTTTAGTTCAACTTGGACAAATACATCTGAGAGGACACACTGATTTGTCTGTCAGTTCAATGTGTGTTAATAACCAGTTAAAGTATCTACAGCTGCTTCTTTTGGAAAGTATAGTTTGAACTCAACAGTTTGTTTGGACTTTTTTGGAAAAAGTTACATTACTAAGTGACGAGAAAGACATTTACATAAAGAAAATGATTCTTTTACCTCAGAAGAACCATGTACCCAGGAATGGCAGCTAAAGAATAAATGAAACTGCTAATGGTTGACAAGATTAAGAAGTACTGGAGCATCATGGAACAGTCATAGCCTTTGTAGCACAGCCCGAGCACTGCTGATGCATTTCCTGATGTCTGAATGCAGCTACAGTTTTTGAACACCTATTAAAAAATAATAAATTATTCTATTTAAATGGAGGAAGAAAACTTTGAACACAAAATCAAAGTAGTTTCCATATAACCAATTGGATCAAGATAGAGGTTGCTGGGGCTGGGGTGTAGCTTGGTGATAGAGTATTTTCTTAGCATGTGTGAGGCCCTGGGTTTGAGCCCAATACCTCCCTGCATACACACACACACACACACACACACACACACACACACACACACACAAAGATAAAGACTGTTTCTTCCTTTTAATCTCATCTCTTTTGTGGTATATCTCAGTATTATACCATAAAACAAAGAATAGGATAGTAATTCCAAAAGCCTGGTATTTTTTTCTAAATATATATAAAATAAGTCTGCACTAGCCTAGTTATCCTAAACACATGACTTTTAATGAAAAAAAGTAATTCTTTGCAACAACACTGTGAAAAATCATCTGTCTCAAAGTGCAGAAGAAGAAGCCAGTTGCAGTTACTTAGAGAACGGAAGAAGAGGCCAGTTGTAGTTACTCAGAGAAAATAATCTAAAAACACAGGTAATTGGAAGAAAGGAAGGGATGTATATCATCATGCCCATATCAATCTGACATTAGAGACATGTACATCAAACAAAACATAGCCACAAGACTTTATAGAACAGTAATGCAGCCCACAGGGATGCCTGTGGGAACACCTCCTCCACACAGAGCAGGAACCGCCATTCTGGGATGTTCTTAAAAAACTGATGGACCGCAATATCATGACAAACCCAAGCCACACAAGATAAATTTGGGATATAAGTTCCCTTGCCTCTTTTGTCGTTCTCCAAATAGGACATTGCAGCCTGGTAGCAAATTTCACAGGCATACCCAGGAGCAAGTGACAAGGAAGCTGCTCCCTCCCAGTGGGCTGCCAGGTGTTTTTGTTTATTTTGTTATTTATTTGTTATGTTTTGTTTTGTTTTGTTTTGTTTTGTTTTATGAGCCATAGCAGTTAACTGGAACCTCTAGTGACAACAAGCTTAGGGACCAATCCAAAGAGTGGGAAAATATTTTTTGTCAGCTATTCCTCAGACAAAGAAACTATATCTAGAATATATTAAGAACTCAAAAAAATCAGATTCCCCAAATTTAAAGACCCAATCCAAAAATGGGCACCTGAAATGAAAAAGTCACTGCTCAGAAGAAGAAGTAGAAGCGGTAATTAAATATATGAAAAAAATGTTCAGCATCACTGGTCATTTGAGAGATATGAATTAAAACGACACTGAGATTGCATCTCACTCCAGAAAGAGTGGGTATTATCAAAAATCAACCAAAAACAAATGCTTGCAGGGCTATGTGGAAAAAGGAACTCTTTTCCACTGTTCTTGGGAGTGTAGCTTTGTGCAACCACTGTGAAAATGAGTTCCTCAAAAAAGTAAAACTAGAGGTTCCATTTGACCTCACTACACCTTCTTGGTATCTTCCTGATAAGAGAAGTACCATCTCACAATGACATCTGAGCACCCATGTTTATAATGGCATAGTTTGTGATAGCTAAAACTTGGAAACAGCCCAAATCTCCACCAGCAGATAAATGGATAAAGAAGATTTTTTTATATATAATGGTGAACTTCTCAGACATAAAGAAAGATAAACTTGAGATGTTTCTAGGTAAATGGATATAGATTGAGACTATACTCAAGTGAAATAAATCGGACACATGTGTAAATACTGCTTTGTTATCTGGTGTGAGAGATCAAAAGTGTAAATAAGGACAAAAATGTATAACAGGCATTGTGAAATAGGGAGAAAATGTTCAAATGGGAAGGAGCACTAGGGAGTGGGGAGGAAAAAAGGAAGGAAGAGAAAAGAAAAAGAACTAGAAAATAGGGAAAAATAAAAACAAAGTTTGTAAGTAAGGTGGGGAAAGGGAGTTGAATGGAAGATAGCGGAATGGGGGGAAAAAGAAGAATTAACTTATATCATGTGCAGCTACAGATTCCCTCTGATGAATTTGATCATTGTGTATCTCTTAAATGTACTAATAAATTTAATTAGTTAAAATATCAAAAAAGTCCTTCTCACTAAAAGTATAGTTTATTCAAAAACCAGAGTAAAATCTATCCTTTTAAAATTACTTTATGCAAGATATGTAAATTACTTTATGTAGGATTTATTAAAAATCAAACTGAATCTACTTTGACTCTCAACCAGATTTATACTTCTCTTTGAACAACAAACAGCTGTATAGGTATTGTGACATTCTGGAGGCAATGAACTCCCCTAACCTTCAATGTGTGCATGTGTAACTCTGTCTTGTTAAAAAACTACTACGATGTGAAGAACAGTACATAGATACATATTCACAGAAAAAATATACAGCAATTAGTTGGATAATTGAGATCAAAACTGCCAATTTTATGTTAAAGACAAAAATTGTTCCTGCTTAGAGTATTTATTTTACATCCTTTGAGGATAAAAGTTTAAACTGCTTGGGAATTACACACCAGTGCTCAGATATAGGTAATAAAATGTGTATGCAGAATGTAGTTTAAGGTGTCCACCAACAAAGTAATCTGGTTTTAAGAAAGAATAATTTTACAGTTAGCAAATGTAGCCACAGTTCACAGTCAGAAATTGCTAGTGCAGTGCACAAAATTCCATCATAAAAGGCCAAAAGGGTGTTACCATGCCGAGTCCAGTTCCGACAGATGTTTCACAACCAGCAAGGCAAGCTGACATATATGACAAGCCATTGTCTCCACACACCGGGTCCCATATCTTAGTTGGACAGTTGCAAAGTTTATTGCAGTCAGCAAGGACCTCATTTCCTATATATAGATCTTGTTGAATTCTGAAATGATTTAAAATAATGCCATGAACTTTGAAACACTATTCAAGTACGTCTTCCACCATTTTTTCAACCCATTCTCTAATCACTTTCCTCTCTCTAAAACATAATTAGAAATCTCTCCTGATCACCAGTGTGTGGCCTGTGTGGTATGCAGTTCTGGCATAAAAACTGCCTGCTTCAGGAATCATAGAACAAATTTTTCCATAATTTATTTCAGAAAAACATATAATCAATAAACAAGTATGAAGAATTTTTGCAGGTAATATTAGAAATGAAAAAAATAAAGAAGGCCTAATTGCTGTGGTTGGCTCAAGGGAGAGTTAAGTTCAAGATCAAAATCTGTAGGCTCTGTTCGTAATGTAGAAAATGCATTTAGTGCCGGTAACATAGCTTCCTGAGTGAATAAATATCCTTTCAGTAAAGAAAGTGTCCAACACTTGTAATGATTGGGAGAGCGTAGTATGGGAGTCCTGGCTGAATTCAAACCCTAACTTCATGACTAGATCACAGTGGGAATTCTCTCTCTATATATATATATATGCTCAAGGATGGACACAATCCTTAAAATTCAAATTTAACATGCACATTTTCATTTGCTTTGTTTACAGTGCTGGGGATTGAACATGGGGCTGTTGCACTGAGCTACATTTCTGGGACCATTTTTATGTTCATTTTTTTAGTTTGACAAAGGATCTCTCTAAGTTGCTAAATTGTCTAGGGTGGGCTTGAATTTGTTATCCTCTAGTCTCAACTTCCCAGAGTACAGAGGGATTACAGTCATGTGCCACAAAGACTGGCCAAAAGCCACCTTTCTATTTTAAGTTGAAGAGGTTTCCCATTATCTTCCTGTGTCATTGAACCCCTGTGAGTTTTGATTTCTTCCTATGAAATGAAAATAATACCTGTCTTAAAGGGAGTTTACAGGACTCAGATCAGGTAATATATATAAAGTTACTTTATGATTTTAGGTTTGAAGTGATTCCATGTTATAAATTTTAGGGTGTCATTTATTTTATTTTAACTGATTACTATCTAATTGTGTCCTAAAGTGAGCTTTTAAAATTCCGTATCACTATAAAAAACCTTTCTGCAAACCCACATAGCCCTCAATTCTAAAATTAAAATTTAAGTCTAAAAGTATTCAGTACTTTAGATGTCGCTATACTAGTGAAATGCATACATTTGCATACTAATTAATTTATATATATTAAAATTCAATTATGCTAAAATGAAGCCCACTATGGAAGCATATAGAGACTTTTTAGACTGTATAGTCAACTCTTAGTTTTATCTACCGATGGGAGTATAAAATATATGGATAATGTGTCCTAATACAACCTAAACTATAGAGTTTTCATTATGTACATTTTAATGTCCACCAGGATATCACAATGAAAATTACACACATAATACACATGTAAAATCATAAATTAAGTCACCCTCTGATATGTTCCCAATATCTTTAGTAAGCCTAGAGACTGGATAGGTTAGTGTATGACTGACAGGGAAACAAAGATGTAGGACAACCATGGAGCACTGCCATGAAATCCTAAGCAAATGATCTGGTGTACAAGCACTGGAGAAAATATATTCATAAGTGGTTGTTGACAAAATATACCATCATTAGAAATCAACATACCCTTCATAAGAAGTAGTTATGCCAGCAACTGGAGAATTATCACAGGTCATCAGAAAAGATAAAAAATAGAGAAGGTACTCAAGTATGGAGAACCAACATGCTACGTGTGCAGCTTGCTTCACAGTAATCTTGAATTTCTTCATAATTAAACCACCAACTATATATCCAATGCATATTGGAGGTAAGTTATAAATACCTAAAAATGCAAGTAAAATATTATTTGCAAAGTAACAACAAAGGAACAAATATGTTATAACTTTTGACTAAAACACCTTTGAGAAGGAAAATCCTTTTTCATTCTTTAAGAAAGTCCAGGTTGCAGTGATTTAACCCCACCTAGTGACACATTACATACAGAGAAATTTTGAAATGCTGCATAATGTCACAGCGTATTCTAAAAGACTGTTCTTTCTTGTGAGCAGGAATCAATCTCTTTTCATACAGGTAGAAGGAGCAAGTCAAGGTAATAATTCATTACTTTTTATTCTAGAGTAAATATATATGATATGTCAGTTATTTATTCCCATTCTGGTTATTAAAAATTTGACTTAACTTTGAAAGATCACTTTTCTGAGTTTCTAGCTGTCTAACATAGTTACAATTTGCATCCTGCTTCTACTGACCAGCACACTTGCTCCTAGCTCTCCCTACCCATAAAAAAGGGGGAAAAAGAAAAGAAAAGAAAAAAAAAAGAAAGCCCCAGATGTCACTCATACACTGCCAATACCTAGCTCCCTGAATCTTATTCTTCACCATCCACTGTAGACACTCATCCTATTGTGTCTGATTTATTGTGTCTGAGATAGGGTCTCAGATATTCAAAATTTTCATAGTATCCTGGGTAATATAGGTACAGATAACCTTGGATAGTTATTTTTGAAAGGGTAAAAATGTCTAGGAAAAATCTCAAGGTAGGGTACAATCATTAAGGTTACTGTACTAACAGGAAAAGCAAACTATCTATGGCTGCTGAGATGCCTAAGGGACCTCATGCAATTAAATTAAGAGAAATATAGATTTCATGAACTGAATCCAAAAGAATAAAATTGGAGTAAAATGTTGAATCCTAGTAATTTATTCTGTATTCTTTTTAAAAATAAGTGATTGCTTCTTAAAAATTGAGTACTATTTGCATTCCCTCAAATTCCCATGAATATTATGAATTTGCACTCTCTTTAGACAGAGAGCAAAATAGAGAAGAAGGGATATTTCTAGCCTTTTACCTTCCTTACTCTTTTTTTTGACTTCCCAGAAGAGCAGAAAGGGGATATTTACCAGAGATAGAAATACCCTAAAAAACTTCAATTAAGGAGATTTATAGTTCCACCATCATCTTGTTCACCATTTCATTGGGAGGCAAAGAAAGTAAGCTACTAAAGCAGAGAAAAACAAACATACCAATGAGAAAGATTGCTTCTGAAGTTGATTTTCCATACTGTTGTTCCAGATATTTAGGCATGAAGGAGAACATATTAACAAATGCATTGAACTGCAGCACACTGATAAGTATGAAAAGCATGTAAATTGGATTGCATGAGAGACTCTTCATGAATGGTAAAAAATCTGAAATGAAAGAACAAGACCACCAAACTAGTTTGGCTCTGCATTTTGTGACTGGCATTTTCCTAAATCATCGAGTTCTCTCATGGATTGTTTTAAAAAGGCACATGTTTGTTAATTCTCTTTACTGCCAAAAAGCTAAAGTTATACGTCACTGTTCTGGTAGCTTGGGAAAGTCAGTGGTGCAACTCACCGGATAAGAATTAGAGTACACAGTTTTGCCTTTACTAAGTTACTATAGTGGATCAGGTGGATTGAGTTGTGGTCAGAACACACTGTAACTTTTCAAAATACTCTATTTGTTGATATTCTCTCCCTAAGTGGTGAGACTGAGTAGTTTAATTTTTTTTTTGGTATGTCTTATACAGTACTATGCTAAACTTTTCCATAGTTTTAAAGTTGAATTAATCTCATGGACCACAATGTTATGTGTTAACATCCTTTATTAGTGTGTAAAAGCTCTTTGAGAATTATTAGTTATAGCGCTGAGAACTTTTGAGATTTCAAGTTAGTTTATAATGATCCCAAGAACTATTAAATTATGTTTTAAGTGTGTTTCAATAATTATTAACAAAAAATAGGTGCAAATGAATATTATAATTTAAGAATAATAGTGGAAATTGTAACAACAGTGAAAATACACTAGTAGAAATAATAATGCTAATGTATGCCAGAATTTCTTTTACCTGTACTCAACAACTGCATAATAAAATACATCATTATTCCCATCTTACAGATCAGGAAATAGCCCCTCCCGACTCTCTAAATAAAACAATTTAATAATTCCAATGCTGAGGTGATGTTCCATGTTTTTTATCTCCGACCTCTTCAGAATACCACAGAACTTCCAGTTATCAGCAATTTTTAAAATTTCCTAGGTGATTCCAAAGTATACCAAGTTTGGGCTGGGGATATAGTTCAGTGGCATAAGCACCTGCCCGGCAAGTACAAGACCCTATGTTCGATTCCCAGTACCAAAAAAAAAAAAAAGAAAACAATGAGATCAAAGTACACCAAGTTGGAGAATCAGCATTCTTCAATACTAAATACATAAACTGTCTTAGCTTCCCAGATAAATGTAAATTATGCCTCAAATTTTAACTGAGAATCTATGCTAAAAGCAAAACAACAAAAGAAGACCGACATAGTACATGAAATGTCACTACATTTACTTGATAATTTCTACATAGCTCAATCTTACTTCTATCTTATATATATAATATATATATATAATAATTTTTATTTTGGAAACAGTTTCTCTTTAAAAATTAATACTCATCGCTATCTATAATATAGAGAACTATGTCACCTCTCACATTTTCTTTTTCTGCCATAACTTCCAGGAAGATGTATAGTTAACCCAAATTTTTGATGATAGAACTACTCTTATCTATTAAAATGAATGCATATTTTCCTATTATAGCCATTAGTTTGAATTTGTTAATTTTCAAAATTATAATTTTTCTCTATAAGATACACTTTCTTTTTTCCAATACCAGGAACTGAACTCGCGACCTTGCGCTTGCTAGGTAGGCGCTGTGCCACTGAGCTAAATCCCCAGCCCCTAGATACACTTTTTTAAATATATTTGCTTACTGAATGTCCAGACTGACTTAAAATTTTATATAAAAACTGATCTAATTCAACTCCCAAATTATATCACTTTTCTTGAAGTTAAATCAGTAAAAAGTAAAATCAGTATAGCTGGACATTACTGACTGGTGACTATTAATGGTGAATTGTTTTTAAAACAGAATAGCACACTGTAGGGCTCAACAATGTACAGACACATCTACATAAAATAGAATGTAGAGTATTAAAAATGTTTATATTGACCTTTAGTGATGCTCTGCTTTTCCTTCTTGAATTCTTCTCTATGTTTTTCCTCCTTGTCATTTTTAATGATGTCAGGATTATCCTCTAGTCCTTCCTTTGGAAGTGTTTTGGGCAGAAAGAAAAAAGGAATGGCAGTGAGGACATTCACTCCTGCACAGATCAAAAAGCCAAACCACCATGCACCAACCCAACGAGTATCAGTGGGAGTTATGGTCAGATCATCTGTAAAGAAATATATACATGTTTATTAGCATGTATCATTATTTCCTGTATGAGTTATAGAAAGCTATTAAAATTCTCATTTTATATGAGTATGGAATTTGTACATCTGCAGACATTTGTAAAATTTATCATTGGATATGAAATTAATGTGAGGTAAGAGATAATAATTTTAGAGTGATTTTAGACAGTAGAGCAACCGTCAATAATAATTATGCACAATATATTTCAGAAAGCTGGAAGGAAGGGTTTTGAAAGTTTTTACCATAAGGAAATGATATTGCATTGAGAAAATATATTTTTAACTTGATGAAAACCTTGTATAATATTTTAATATATTGTACATGTATCACACTATCATATCACACCCATTAATATGTAGAAATATTTTATGAATCAGTTAAATCATTTTAAAAATATATTTAACAATATGTTGTGCTGTGATACTGTCCAATGATAAATCATTCTGATTACCTTAATTTGGAAGACATTTATAAATAGCTTTTTACTAAATAACTGAAAGATTTATTTCATTAGCCATAAGTGATTACTTGATCAAAATAAATTAAAATCTATATGCTTAGATTTTGTGAAATCAAAGTATGATTGAGATTAAGTAAAAAGATCAGTTGATTTTGAGTTAAGAGATTAGTATTTTACTTTGTGCTATAGTTTACTCCATTTGGTTACCTACATAGTGATAATCTACCCCAGTGATGGTCATATAAGGCAGTGATTATAGATGATGATATATCTGGGGTTTTGTATACTTCAGATACCGCATACATAGGTTTTACTGAATTACCTGTGTTTACAGATCCAGTGTCTACGTAAATGTTTGCACAGAATGATGCTAGCAAAAGTCCAATCAAAGGGCCAATGATAGTTCCCGTTTCTATAAACCCTAAAAGAAAACAAAAACATAAGTGTATAGTTAGAAGCTCATCTAAAAAGTTCTGGTTCCATAGAAAGCATTAATATTGACTTGTCTTACCTTACCTTTTAGCTTAAATTTAGTGGTGATGCTGGTGATTGAATAGACTGCCTTTAACTGCCATATAATTATACCCACAAGTTCTTCAGCTACTTTAAATTAGATCTCATCTTACAAGCAGATTAATTTGGAGTACATACAAGTGACACCTGGTTCTGTTTACATTGCAGAAGAAGGTGCTACAGTTCAGATCTCGAGTCCCCCCAAAAGACCCGAGTGTCAGAGGGTTGGTCCTGCTGGAAGTGGTGAAACCTTGAAGAGATAGAGCTTAGTAGGAGGTCTTCAGGCCACTGGAGGAGTATGCCCTCAAAGGGAATTGTGGGATCACAGCCTCTCCATCTTTATTTTATTCCCCAGTTGGGTGGTAAGTGATCTAACTGTGCACATTCTTCTGCAATGATGTGTGGACTCAAAACTGGCCCAGAAAGAGTGGGGTCAATGAATCATGGACCTCCAAAACTGTAAACCAAAATAAACTTTGTTCTTCTTATAAAGTGATTCCTAGTATTTTATAAGTAACTGAAAGATGACAAACACAGGGGCCTTGTCATTTCACATGCTCACAATGGGGCCGTAATTTGTATGTCTTGCTGCTAGGCAGTGGTGGTACATGCATGACTGCCCCATGCATCAATGAACACCTCAAAATCTGCCAGCTGGACAGTCATGCATGTGCCACTGGTGGTACAAGCCAGTGGGAACATGTCAAAGCCACTTTCTCCATGCCTCCAAATTCTCTTTAAGGCTATCATGTAGTTAAGATTTGCTGTAACAACGCAGGCAATTATACTATTGACAAAGCCATGATATGGATCAAAGGCCTTTTGATGCTTCCCCTAAGCATATGTTTGAAGGTGTTCTAAAGCAATGCCATGTTGTAACGAATAACTTGTGGCATATTCCTCAAAAAGGTCCCACTCTTAATCCCTATTTCACCACTTCTTCCATAGGCAAAGTGTATCCTCAGCATTACAGCACTTCTCACTGATGTTACCATGATCTCCTTCATCCGCCACCTTCTCGTATCCTATTTTCATCTTCCTTCCCTGCACTCACTTGACTTCTTACACCCTGGAACTGCACCATCAGCGACCTCATGAATTTCCTACAATTTGAAATCTGTGATATGTTCTTCCTGATCACCAAACACCCAATGTGAGCTTCTTTAAATTCCTTCCTCTTAATTTTTAAATCTGCCTTTGCCTTAGTTCTTTGCCCTCTCCACAATTCTATGGGCTGATCCACCTTGACACACACCTGACTTTTGACACGAATCCCTTGCATCTCCTCTGGGGTCTTGCTCTGCCAATCACTCCGTTTTATGCTTTTCCACTCTCTCTCATCCCACGATTCATACAGTGTCTCAGGTCCCCTCTCCTTTCTTTTTTTTCTCTTCGTTCTTGTCTGTATTTCCTCACCGCTCACTCAGTTTCCTCAGACCCTCTCACACGTTACTCAATGCTTGGGTGGTGCCGGTGATTTCTTTGTCACTAATGCAGCATCTACTTTTGACCTTCCTCCTCTTAACTCTAAGCTATTGGACATTGCTGGTCAAGTTATCTTTTGCCATTTTCCTCCTAAAGCCTAAGACAAAACTGTACATTTGTTTCACCTTTTCTTCAGGAGTTCTTTGACTTTTTTTCTTCCTGTTTACTCATTAGGTAGAAGTATGCCCCAGCATTTTATGCTAGAACCACTATGCATGTGTGTGCATGCATGTATTGCTTCTGGATCGATAATTCTCAATATTTAGCTTTTATGTTCTCCCCTAAACCCTAGAGCTATGTATGCAACTATTTGCTTGATGTATAACTTTTTGACCTAGTTATTTTATAATACATACATACATGCATGCATATATAAAATATTCATACAATTATGTGTTTATTAAACTCATATAGACCTGTAGTTTGCTTATCTTAGTGAACTGAGAAATTATATTATGCATCTTAAAATTTTTTGAGTAAATTAATACATACCATACAAAGGTGTTAATTTATTCTAATAGAATGCTTCCATTCTTTCAATAGAAGTATGTGAAGGGATTTGAAAAGATTCAAAAGAAAAACCATGATTATTGCAACATGAGTGAGTGTTCAAAGTATATTTAGGACAATGACTTAGTGATTTTTAGATTTTAATCTACCTCAATTATATAAATGTCTTTGTGTGTGTGTGTGTGTGTATCAAATCCAGAGCCTTTGCCCTGAGGTATATCCCCTCCCTTCCTCCTTTTGAATTTTGAGCAGGATCTTTCTAAATTGCCCAGATTGGGCTTGACTTCATTATCTTCTCACCTTAGCCTCCCACAGTCCTGAGTTTACAGGCCTGTGCCACTACATCCAGATTGTTACTGTTTTCTATCACCTACTTTGAGTTTTCTGGTTTTCAAAATGTGTGTTTACATTAATAGAAAAATGTCCCTACACTGAAAGTTACAATTTTATGACCAACTACAGATGAGATAACTAAGGAATATAATCAACTTTTTATGATAATTGAAGAGTAGGAAATTGTGGATCATCTAAGAAGATAGAATTTCAATTGACTAACTCCCAAGTGATGCATGGAGTGTAAGAAGGTAATTTCAAGAATTAACAACAAAAAGAGTGAAGGCAGATATTTGTGAAAAACATGAAGAGGCTGGCAAGGAAGATGATATGGTGATAAAGGAAAACTGTATAGGGGAAAACTAAATAGATTAACAGGGTACAGTTAAAAGACAATGACAAATAAAAGATCAGATTTAATAAGTAAGAAGTCAATAGTGAACACATCATTAAAACAATGTTTGAGAAAGATTATATTGCAGGAATTTTTACAAGAAATTGATAAAATACTAGATATAAAATAAATAATAAAGAAAATTAATTTTTGGATAAGTAATGAAAACACAGGTGGTGAAAATAGTAAGGAAATATTTGAATTTAAGGAATACAGTAGAGAAAATTCTGGCAGATCTCTTAATGGATGTGTGTGACTAGGGAAGTAAAGGATTCAGAGGACTTGAAGGGCACTAGATTCGTGTTACTTCCTATAGCAAAAGATAAATATGAAAAATGACTTATTTGGAGTTAGCATATAATTGTTCTATTCAGACAGTTAACAGTGCAATGCACCAAGGCACTGGGCTCATCCTTCTGCAAATACTGAGTCCAAATACACAATTTCTACTCTCAAAGAACTTGCTGTCCTGAACTGGAGCTAAGGCAGACTTTCAGACTTACCAATATAGAGTGGAGAGTTTTCAGATTTGGAAAAATCTTCTATATAGGAAATTCCCAAAGGCATGATGGGTGTTTCACCCATCCCACGTATAATATTTCCCACCAGCACATACACCCACATGAAGGATTTAACTTCTTTCACGCACTCTGTATTAAAATAAACAAAAACAATTGCATTAGTGCTTTGAAAGTAAAGTGTTAGTAACACTTCGTTCAAAGTTCTCTGTATTTCAAATTTCCTGTATGACCATGGTCCCTTTCCAGTAATTTATAACAGCATGAAAAACCAGCACTTCCTTTTGCTTCCTTTATTTTTAGAGAGAAAGAGAGAGAATATTTAGGTACAGACAAGTGTCAGTGGTGTGCTAGAGTCAGTTCCTGCTCAGATGAGAGCGATAACTATACACACATTTTTCCATATAGTGCTTAGTACCAATGCATTGGTAATTTAATAGTCTTATACAATAGAAATTGGCAAACTCCAAAATTCAAGGTTTCTTTCCACACCTGAGATTCAGTTTACCAGCAACCACTTGGTCCAGGCTGGCATCCTGTTCCTATAGAACTTTGGGGTGGTGGGGATAAAAAACACTCCCACAATAAACTCTGAAAACTTCTTTCTATAATTTAAGCTATATGAGATTTAATGAGTTTTAATGATTTAACTCAAACTGAAGTTTGAGTCTCTAAAATTTTGATAATTTCTTAAAAATTAATACTATCTAGGTGGGTAGTAATCATATTTTGTCTAAAGAGCCTATTGTATATGGTGACCATCAAATAACTTTTAATTAATTCACTCTAATCCCTTGAGTAGCAGCTACTTAGTAGTACAACAATAGTAGGCCAAGGGCCAGGGATATAACTCAGCAGCATAAGCACCTGCCTGGCAAGCTTGAGGTCATGAGTTTGATTCCCGGTACCAAAAACAAAACAAAACAAAACAAACAAACAAAAAAAACCCAATACTAGGCCCCAAGGAATGGAAAAGGAAAAAGAGAGATCTCTGAGAACTTATATCTGCATCTTTTCCTTTGGGGGACTTGGCCAAGGAGTGTGAAGTTAAACTGTAGGGCAAAAGCATATGGTTTCTATAAGAAGTAAAAGGTTAAAAAATAAAGTTTAGATTAGTAAAGCACGAGACAGTTCTTTTCTCAAATGTTTTGTTTTGTTTTGTTTTGTTTTGTTTGCTTTTTTCCCCCACTTCCACTGATATTCTGAATAAAAGCTGGAGAGATCTCAGCTCTGAGGCTTCTTTTGGGAATCTCCCTAATGCAGGACACTCTCAGTTGAGAAAGCCCCTCTGGGGCTCCTGGTGACTGAACTAAGTCTAATCTCTGAGTAATCATTCATCTTCCATGCTGTGGTGGTCATGCACAGTGACAAGTGATGACCTGTGTTAGGAATAACCTGCTATTGCTGGTCAACATAGAGGACTGACCTCCCAAGTCTTCAAGCCTGGATAATGAGTAAGGAAAGATTTAACTTTTCATCCCCGTAAGGGGACATAAAAAAGCCATGAAGTAGCATGGTATATTTACAGTGAGGTCAAAAGCTAGGTTTATCAGCCCAGAGGTCTTTTAACTGTCCAACTGCTAAGGGAATAGGAGCAGTTCATTTGATTTTCTTCTTGTTGTTCTTTTGCTTTCATTTCTCCTGCTTTGCCTACCAAATGGTTCAAACTTTAAGGACAAGCTATACAAGCAACATTTACAATGTTGCTTAAAAACGTCTGACTCCAAAATAAATAAATACATAAATAATTAAATAAACAAACAAATAGGAAAATAAGAAAACAAAACTGTCTTTGAGAGAGAGAGGGCATGAAAAAATGGCCCAGGCAACAAAATTTAAGCCAAAAATGTGTGCTCAACTGGGACAAATCTATCAAGAAAGTAGACACTCCTACTAATATTGTTACAAAGGCTCAAAGGCATGCAAAAATATCTGAGAGTGTACGCTGATGAAATATAACAGCTTTATGTGTTGTGTATATTGTTTTGACTGTCCATCTGCTTGTTAATTTGTCTTATTAACTCAATAGGATACCTTCAGTTGTTTCATTCAAGATTTTTGAGCTCCTATGAAAATGTTTCCTTTGACTTTTGCCCATGTAACTTAGTTTTTAAAAGAATAAGCTGGAATAAATCTCATTATGGAACAAAAACTAATAGACTTAAAAGGCACTTACAAATAATCTTATAGTTTGATAATGTAAGGGTCATATGTTGTATGTGATTTAGGTTAATACATATATTTCTCTATGTGTGTACTAACTTTCAGATACATATCATCATCCAATAAGTTCTACTTAAAATGATTTCTAGATAGACACTCATGATATTAACCCAAATGCTTTTTGGTTTACACAGCTTAATAGTGGGCTAGTTTAAATAATTTGGTAAAAGTAAAGATGACTTTAAATTTGGTGACAAATCTGCTTCCTGGGAGAATTCCCACCTAATTTGTGACACTCTACTGAAAGATGAGAAATTTAGGTGAAAGTTTCTTCATATCATTTAACATAATAATGTCATCATGATTATTATGGTAGTGTGGTGTATTGCCCTTGGGCTCAAGTTTTCTCTATAAAACATTTTAACTGTTTTCTGTTAACCTTCTACAGGAGTTCAATATCTGAGACAACCATAACTGCTAAAAACTAAAAGTTCCCTGATTCAAATTTTCAATATTTTCACTGATTTTCCCTCAGTTCTGGAGTCTTTACAAGTGATTAAAACTGCTCTTACACATAATAAAAATGATGAGGTGCTCTTTGATATGTTCCCTGACACTCTAATGATGGAGAAGGTCAATTTCCTTACAAACTTTCCTCAACTCCTACAAATTGAGCATTTCACTGGAATCCCTCACAACCCCACGAGACATGCCACTATGAAACAAGCCAGTGAGCTCCCAGAATTCAATTTATAAAACAAAAAAGGGGGACTATGGACCAAGACTTATTTAATGTAATAAGACTTTAATTTTTCTAAATTGTGGTTCAATAGGTTTCACAGCAGTACAGAAAAACAGCTCACCACTCAGCTGAACAGATGCTGCAAAGCACAAGAATTCCCATCACACTTGAAAATCTGTTTCTTACAAAGACCATTTAAGTCACTTGGCATGCCAAAATTACAAAGGTAAAAAGCCTCTTCGTCTTTCTGAGTTTCCTGACACATGCACCTCAAGGAAGTGACACGATTCATTGGGCTCATGTTCTTACCTCACCCGTCTTAGATGTAGCTACGTGAAAAACTTCAAACGTACCTCTTTCCTCTCATTTACACACCTCATTTTCAGACAAAATTTAACTGTCATCTCTCAGCCCTTTAAGGGACTATGGGAGAGACTGTAGTCATTCTGGCTATTCCAATGGCTGGCACCTGTTACCCCATGAATGATGTTTTGTGACAAAAGAATTTCCATTATATAGTTTCAATATCACTGATACTCATTATTTTATTCCTTTGCAGCCCAAATGGTATATAAATAATTGTTAATATCTCTCAATTATTCGTATTGTGGTACTCAGACACCAAGCCAAAGCTTGGCTCCCCACCAGTCTCATGAGAGAATGGATAAAAATTGAGCCCTTGAACAAATTACTTCAACACTTATCCGACAAAAACGTTTTCTGGACATTTATTTTGTGCCAGCTTCAGCGACAACCACTCTGTTCACCTCAGTCCGTTCCATTCAAAGTGCTCAAACTATGAATAGCTGTTTCTAACATATACCACTGAACTGCTAACTCAGACCAACACTGATAAAGAATTGTTAGAGAAACTTGATGCCCTTAAGGCAACAGTCAGCTGGCTCAACACGCATCACCTTTAATGGTGCCTGCTCGCAGAAACCCTGAATTTCATTTTCTGGTCTCAACCTTCACATTTGGATTTTTATTACTATTGGAATTCTTATTTGTTGCTTGTTCTTACAGTTCTCAAGGCCCTTTGTATACTGTTCTGGTGAACTCTTTGTGCTGAGGTCATGACGACCTTACAACACCAAGCCCAATATCCATCTACACTATATTTCTCTCTTCCTCCCCATACCTGATCCTGTAAAACACAAGAGGAGAAAATGTGGGGGACTTTACCAAGGAGTGAATGGTTAAACTGTGGAGGAGAAGCACGCAGATTCCATGCTAAATGAATGCTTAAACAGCAAGAAGTTTAGATTAGTGAAGCATGTTGTGTCTGGCCATTGTCCTTCCCTTTTCCCCAAGAATATTGCCTGCCCTTGAAATAGCTCCTTTCCCAAGTTGCTTTTCTTCTGATTTTTTCACCTCCACTGATATTCTAAATAAAAGCTGGAGAGTCCTCAGCTTTAGGGCTTCTCTGGGAAGTTTCCCTAACACTGGGTGATCTCAGCTGAGAAGTCCCTCTGGGCCTCTCAGTGATTAAACTGCAGTCACATCTCTAACTAATCATTCATCATCTGTGTAGTTGTGGACACAAACTGTGACACTTTCCATTGTTGTTCTAAGCCAAGAAAAAAAAAGCTGTGAGGCCCCGTGGAAACTCTGTAGGGTCATGTTTTCAGGGAAGTGAAGCCCAGTGTACTCTCTCTCACCTGCTAGAAAATGGCCAAATGCTGCCACACATGTGAGGATCCAGAGCACCGCTGGATTGTGGGATTTCTGATGAGATCGACCTCCTTAATTCCAAACTCAAAAAAACATAGGCTCCATTTCCAGGAACTCAGATTATTTTTCTCTGGTGAGCAAATGTTTTGTGTCTAAAGATCATAGGAGAATTTTATGCCTATTCTAGGGCAAAATGTAAATATCAGGTGATGAAAAGACTGATGCACTTTCTTGGAGATAAACCAGAGTGGAAAGATGTTGATATATTTGGTACCCAAGTCTTTTGTAAACTCTACCCCAAGAAATGAACATAGATACCTATTAACAGATTGATTAATGGGTAAAGAAAATTGGGACTTATATATATATATATATAAAATGAGATATAGTGTGGGAAATATATACATAAATGTGAGAGACATATATATATAATCTATATATACCATGTATCTAATATAATGTTCCATGATATTCCAATATATAATATATTACATAATTATATAACACGTAATATATACTGTAATATATATTTCAATATATATTCTATATATGTAAGGGAATATTAATCAGTCATAACAAAGAAGAGCATGTAATTTGTAGGAAAATGGATGAAATTGAAGACTATCATGCTAAGTGAAATGTCAGTCTCACAAAGTTAAAAGTCACATGCTTTCTCCTATGTAAGAAATCTAAAAATAAATAAATCAAAGCAAATGCAGAAACAAAAGAGCGAGGACTAAAAGGTAGTTTTCTAGTGATAGGGAGGGGAGTTGGTAGGGAGAGAAAGAAGGAAACAGGGATAAAATAACAAAAACATGTTACATGCATGGACTAATACAGCACCATGGATCTTATTATTCTCTACTGGTAATATGCACCAATACAAATAAATTAAAAACTTAACAGGGGCCCCTGTTGATGTTACTGTTTCCCTTTGTTTCCCTGGGGAGATATCTTTGGCTTAGATTTTCTGAGATAGCTATTTTTTTTTTAACTCTGAAACTATTTTGGTTCAAACTGATCCCATAATAGTAGTGAAATTCCCAGTCTTGGGTACTGTTGCAGCTTCTGGTGACATGAATTCAGCAGAAAAATGTCCCCCACATTGGAGAAGTTGTGGCCTGAAGTAAGTCCTCAGTGTCACCTCCAGACCAAGTATCGTCAGAAGATTATTTAGTTCCCTGAGCTTCCAAGAGGCAGGGGTCAACACACAGATGCCTGGATCACAGGAAACTAGAAGAGCATTGCTATTGTGTTGGATTGTAAAGCAGTGTCTCTGTTAGAGAGTAGAGAAGGGGAAGAAGGAAAAGTTGCTAGTAGTGGAAAGGGAATACAGGAATGCTGAACCATGGCGTACTTGTCTACTTTCCCTGCTGCGTATAACAGCAGTGGTGCACCACAAATCTTTTTGAATTTTTCTCCATAAATGTAATCATGAGCATAAATCTATTCTTCTAAAATGTGCTCCCATCTGAGATTAACTCTACAGTGATCCTAGGATGGATGTCTTCTAAGTAACCATTTTTTATGACTAGAGAAGGAAATCATAATAGGTTCAAGTATAAGAAAATAAGATTCTGTATTATTAAATGTGCTTGTTCCCCTCTGTGATCCCTTCCAGAATTCCTGAAGAAGGAAAATATCTTTGGTTCACCTTACTCAATATCTCATTCAAAGCTCCTGAACAGAAATCCTTTAGGTACAAATTGCCTGAGCAGAAAGTAATAAAAAGGAGACAACCTGATGGATCTTGTGTTGGTCTAGAAGTTTCAGTTCTGTTTTCCGTACATAAGAAGCTGTTTGAGGACAAATTACTCGAAACGGAAACTGTCGATTCATATTCATATCTGTATGAACAGAGGAGAAACATTTATGTTAAGGAATACATAAAGACTCAGTGAATATTTTGCGGGATATTGGCTCCCACTTCACAAAAATCACAACATCCATATCTGGAAAAGATTTCATCTTTGCCACTGTAATGATCATACATTAATATCATTAAAAGAACTTGCTGCTTGCCGGAAATGTGTAAGTTCTTCATAGTTATCCTTTAACTGTTTGCATGTAAGTGATATACCTTTAAGATTATTTAACAGCAGCTTTCTGTGATTTTTTTAGGTGACTATTTCCTGGGAATAATTAACTGTGGGATGAGGAACAAAAGTAAGAAAATTAAGAGCCTCAATAAAGTACAATTAAGATCAAAGCTTTTGGAAAAAACAATAAAATAAGTATGTAAGTTTGGAATTTTCTGAGGTTTCCTCAATAAGAATAACCTCTTTTTCTAAGAACTCAAATAATAACTCCTCCATGTATTCTTTAAATCCTAAGGGGGAAAAAAATGTTCCTATTGTAATAAGAGTCCTTGGAGGATTTTCAGTCATTGGACAGCATAATGTAATAACTTTTTCTTTTCTTATAAGAACAAAAGTTAATAACTATAGGCATCTAACTTAGACAGTTGCCATAGGATCCACACGTCCTTTCTCAGAAAGTGAATTACATGCTATAAGAGTAGAGGAAAATATTTCCAATGGAGTCTTTGTTAAAAATTTTGCTGGTTTTCTTTCTTTGTGTTTATTAGATATCAGCCAAAATAAATTTGCCCTTCTGAGCTCCACATAAATTAATGGGTGTTATCCTTGGATGCCTCTAATAGTGTTAATTTCAATACCATAGGACAAAATCAAAAGGGACCAAATGCCTTCCTCTTACAATTGCCCAGTCATACCCACAGAGCTTGGCTGTGAATTCTGAACAAAGCCTTCTGTCTCCCTACTCATGATCCTATGAGACACAACAGCTTCAAAGAAAACAAGACTTTGGCACAGAGTGGAAAGAGTATAAATAATAGTTGAACATTACTTAACATTGTCTTGGGCAGATTAAGAAAGAAAGAGCAGTAAAACTCTGCTTAGAAACTTCTGATCCCTTTGCAAATAACAGAGGACAAAATAGCTCTTACTTGTTCAGTGTATCTACTTAAAACTCAGTTACTCTTTTCAAAGCTAATTTATTCTCAACACATCAGTGAAACATCAGGAAAGGGATTTTAAAATGGAAAAGACAAAGAAATCATCCCCAACGATGAAGAGATTGGGATGATATAGCAATAAGAAAGAGTTCAGTGAAGTTAGGAAAATGGGAAAGTAATAAGTGAATGGTCACTGCATCAGGAGAAATTAGAAATATAACCATTTCTGCCTCAGGGAAGCAAGCAAATCTATGACATACTTTCCTGGAGATCCTAAGGCAAGATATTAATGCAAAGTAGGGAAGATCCAAATGCTAGGAAAGTTTGAGCAGTTAACTTAAAGTGTATTTAAGGGATGGAGACACCAGAGACACCCACTGCCATTTTAATTTAAAAAATCCATTGAATCTAGCAAGTCTGAACAGGTACACTGTAGACAGGGGGGGCTAAACTATAAACTAGCAATAGTGTGTGAAAAAATAAATATCTACATACTAAAAGGCAAAAGTCCCAACTCCATCTGGTTAGTAGCCAACCTTCTATTTTCCATGCAATTGATAGGAAAATCACTGATCACTGCCCAGGATAAATAACAGGTTTTACATAGTTCTGAGCCAACTGACAAACAAGTAATTCCTACTCAGTCACTCTGTGAAGAAGTCCTCCATTAAGGGGCTGGGGATTTAGCTCAGCGGCAAAAGCACCTGCCTGGCAAGCGCAAGGTCATGAGTTCTGTTCCCGGTACCAGAGAAAAACCAAAAACAAAAAACAAAAAAAAAAGAAGTCCTCCATTAAACAAGTTCTACATACACACTGAGAATTTCTGGTTAGTTTGTCATTGTTGTTGTTCTTCTCAAATAGAAATAGATAACCAATGACTAAATATATGAAGAACACATATAACAGTTAAAGACAGAGACACACAAAATAGCTATACTTTGAGGAGTGAGGATAGAGGAAGAAACCTTACATGGGAAAAGACATTGCAATTTTGATAGAATAGCAAGATGTTCTTTCAATAGAGATATTCAAAGAACAAAAGACTTTTTGAAAATTGAAAATACGATAGTATAAGTTTACAAGCCGCGATTTTCATGTTATGTCTCCCAGAAGGTGACAAGAAAATAAGACATAAAATTAGGGAAAGAAGATAAGAAAAGGTAAACTTAGTCCAAGATGTCCAATATTCAAATAGCAGAAGTTCTACAAAGAGAAAAACAGAGAAAATAAAGGGTAAGAGGAGGTGGAGTAGGGAAGAGACTATCAACAAGAAGAAATACAGTTGTTTCAAATGTCTGGATTGAAAATACCTAGCATAGTGAAGGAAAAGCAAAATATTAAGACAGTTATACTTTTCAGACTTTGGAATTTTATTGTTCCTGAGGAACAACACTAGGGCATTTAACACCATTTCTCTGAACTTTTCTCCTTTCATGTTGTCAAGACTCTTGACAGATCAAAGGAACATTATGAGAGGATAGAAATTAGAAGGTACCAGTAAATATTATCTGAAGGATACTGAGACTCAGGTAAACTAGTGTTCCTATAGAAAATGTCTTTAAAATATCTTTCTAAGGGCCAGGAAGATGGCTCATTGGCACAGCATCTGCTTGATAAGCACAAGGTCCTGAGTTCGATTTCTGGTACCAAAAAAAAAAAAAAAAAGAGAAAGAACGCCTTTCTGACTAGGTGCAAATTCAGCTTGGCGTGCTGGTCATAAAATAGAACAGGCAAATTACTGATGCCACTGCTCTGCAGTTTACTGTATAAAAATCCCCTCACAACAATAGCGTTGTGGACAACAGATCAGAGTGCAGTGCTATATTTGAGCTAACTACCAGTGAATACTTCAAGCTCTTTCTAAGCATTGTCCTGTCCAGCCTTGTGATCCCAGACTTTCTGATGATTAATTAGTCCAGTTTATGGTCCTTAGATATTTCAAGTCTTTTCTGGTAACTTTCTTATCCCATGCAGTTTCATTGGAATGTATCCTTTTCTTCTAGTAAGTCTCAACCCTGTCATTTCCAATTGATCCTTAAATAATCCCTTCCTCTCATAAGCCATCACTGAGTATTTTCTTTGGTTTTTCTCAGTAACTTACTCCACTGGCCCAGCACACGGGGTCCGTGGATGAGATAGGAGTTTAAAATACAAACCCAGTTTTTCCCAGAGAAAAGAACTTGATCACAGGGATGAGAATGACATAAGATTCTGAATAACAGTAACAATGGAAACAAACTAAAACCTGTAAAATAATGTCTTCAGAATCCCCCAGGAAACTATTTCTACTTAGAATGTCATCCTAGCCAAGCTATCAATTAAGCATAGAAGTAGAATTTTTTCTGATCTACGAGGTCATAAATCTTATACTTTACTTCAGACTTTCTCAGAAAGGTACTGCTTTCTATACAGAAAAAAGTAAGAATAAGGAGGAAAGCAAAAGAAATAACACCCATAAGATGAGTAACTAAATGCCAGGAAGAGGTAAATTCCAAAGCATAATAAGGAGGGAAAAGTCCAAGGAATCAGCAGTGCAACAGGTCAGGAAGTTCCCAGTAACACAGGGGGTAATAGAAGATATACCCAAAGACAGAAATGAAACCTTCCAGTCTGTACTGAGAAGACTAAATGGTGAGGAATGAAGGAGAGATAGAAAGCTTAAAATAAAATGAAATTTAAAAATGAGGTAATTCTTAAATTCAGGAAAAAATAAAAATTATCTAACAAAGGAAGATAACAGCATGATTCAGTGGTAAAAATCATTGTCAGCAGTACAAATTAAATAGTGACTATGATTCTATAGTAGGAATTTAATATGTGTCACATAACTGAAGTATTATAAGCTAACAAGTTAAAGAGGCAAATAGAACAATGGGCTAAAAGAGTTGCAAGTTGATGCCTGTGGAAGACACAAATGAAGGCAAGGAATCAATTCTTTTTCAATGCAATTTTATTTTTATAATTTTGAACATATATGGTTTTAGTAAGAATTAAAATAAAAATTACCATTCGACATGGCCTGTGTCTTGGTGAGCTAGAAGCAAACAAAACCTCACTGTAATTAGAAGTGATCAGTATGACTCATATGCCAGTTGCATACACGCAGGTCCTGAGAACCTCTGCATCAGATTCGCCTTCCTAAAAGAGGTGTCTGGAAGTCCAGTTTCACCAACTGGCAAAATGTCACTGTGTTAGTGGAGAGGAGAAGGAAAAGAGTACAAAACAGGCCAGTGGAATAGAACAGATTCCTCATCATCCAAGTCCCATTCCAGTGCTCTGTGCTTTGGGACAGCATTGTTCCTAGAGAGGAAATTCCGAACCTCATTCCCTGTAGGTGAAACCTGAATTTAAAAGATCATCGAAGACTGGAATACTTACCTGTCCATGAGAAAATGAGGTAGCGATATTAAGAAACAACCTAATCCCATAACTGCACATCCGATACCGATCATTATAGGTCTATGCAGTTTAGTTCCAAAATAACTCACAAATATAATCAACAAAAGATTTCCTAGAAAAAAAAAAGAGAATACTCATTTCATTAAGTATTAACAAAATCTTAATTAATGCCCTCGCCTAATCATTTACACTCTAGTTTTATTGCATAACAACCCTCTCAAATAATGGGATTGGTGCATGGGCACATTAAAAAAACTAAATGAACAAAATCTCCTCCCCTAAATAAGGACTTTATTTCACCATGTAGACAGATACATAAAGAGATCTCTGTGGATCCCTATCATGTAATCAATGCAGAGAAAGGGAATTTCGCAAAAGAGAATGAAGAATAGTTCTGGGACATAGAATACAAATGTAAATGTTACGATGTATGAGACCTCTGGCCTCTGTTTGATGTCTGCTCCACAAAACACATTAATATTTTAATTATGCTCCAGAAGAGAAGTTAAAGTAAGATCCAGATATATGCACATTTTGTAACTCATTAGTCAAAGATACCTTTAGTGTTCCACATGACCAAGCCAGAGATCTACTTTTATTTTAACTTCTTCTCTAGATCAAATAATGTGGTTAAGTAAAAAAAAAAAAAAAAAAAAAAGGTGGTCTCACAATTCTTTAACTGAGTCTTAAGTTAGATAGGAGTTGAAAAGTTACAAAAGTCAGTAAAACTTTGTCTCCATGTCTTAGAATAGAGTTTTCTTAAAATAAACGAATTAGGAAGCCCTATTCTGATGGATAGGATTGAAAGAACCAAATATGTAAATAAATTCTCTGCAAACCATTTTTAATTCAATGAACAGTATTTACTTTATTCCTACTATGTATAAGGGAAATCTCTGTTCAAAGATTATAAAAATTTCAAAAACCATTTCTCTCAAGGTGTTCATGATTTTGGAAGTGGTACTGAATATTTTGAGGTCTTTTCTCCTTCCAATCTCTTTTTCTCCCTAGTTTGTCTTATACACAGAAGATTTGCCAGTTTTCACATTATTTTACGCAGAGAGTGCCCCCTCATCCATACCTACAACAGTCACACTAGTCTATTTCTAAAATCCTCCTCATCAAAGTCATCTGTGTTGAAGTTGATGTTTCTAGAAGCCCACTGTTTGAAAAAGGAACAAAGGAATGGTTTTCCTGCCTTACTTAGGGGTGAGTTTATCTTCATATTGCCTTACTGTGCCAGTAACATAGTCACCATGACAACATGTGTAAAGATATATAAATTGATGCAAGCAAAGATCAATACATTTACTAGTACCTATAAATTATTTCTTTTTTTTTTCTCAGCAACTATTTCAAGTCCTCAATACTGTCATCAAGTCACCTAGCCCCACCATCTAGTGGCAGAAATAGTTAATATTTTGTACTTTGCCTAGAAATTTGGAGCAATAAAATATGAAGATATGTGCATTTCCTGTCCTGTGACCTTACTGTCGGCCTTCAGTGTCAAGAGTGTGGGGTCCTCCTGGTCATCCAAGTTCTTCTCAACACATGAGCACTGCCATTTTCTCTATCAAGTTTCAGAAATATCTAGAATATCTCTTGTACAGTTTAATTCTCTCCAACTCTGCTGAACTTCTCAGGATATTCTCTAGTTCCTCTCCAAATTTTGTAGAACATTTATCTACATTCACAGATTCCCTTCCCCATCTCTGTTTTCTTCCAAAGTCACTGCTACCTCCACTGCCTAATGGATTCTAAGTCTACTATATAACTAATGTGCTCTACTAAAGATTAACAGTTATTTCCACGCTATAAACCCCAGAACATAGCTTACCATTCTGAATCTAACTGCATATTTCTTTTTTTTTTTTTTTTTTTGTTTTGGTTTTTCTCCGGTACCGGGAACCAAACTCAGGACCTTGCGCTTGCCAGGCAGGCGCTTTGCCGCTGAGCTAAATTCCCAGCCCCTCTAACTGCATATTTCTAATGTGTTTGATGCTGTTGAGGCATTCATTCTCTCAGAAATTTCTACGGCCTTCATGTCTGTCATGCATTCTGTCAGAGTTTTTATTCCTTTGACTGTTCTCTTTCTTAATACTTTCATGTGCTCCTTGTCTTCCATTTGTGCCTTAAACATTGGTATACAAAAAAGAGCCATTCTTTGTCCCTTGTACTTACATGACATCCTCTCTCTGAAGAACAGCCTCTTCTCTTTAGCCTCAACAAGCACCTAGCTACTTACTAATCCATAGCTTCAGGCCAGATAATTTTCCAGTGCTTCAGACTCAATATAACTTCCTACACACTAGGGCACATCACTACCCAAAAGGTTCAAGGGTCCTATAACAATTTGCCTAAAACAAAATTCATCAATACTCCCATAACCATCACCACAATGATGCCCGCTACCTGAATTCTCTGCTTTGGTACCATTATCCAATTCTATGCCTCGTCTGTAAACCTTAGGAAGCTCCTTCTCCGAACTGCCCCTTCTCTTCTGTCATTAAGGTCTGTGGAATTAAACTCCTGACTTTCTTTAAGTCATTCTCCTCTCTCAAGTTATTCTCATAAGATTCTGGATCAGACCCAAATGTTTCTCCCTTTGCATTAGCTCTTTGTCCACCTTCAAATCTATGCCAACATGACCTCAAGTGTGGCCCTTCTAAAAATGAATCTGACCCTTCTTTTAGAGTGGGCAATAAACTAGAGTAGTATTCGGAATACCTACTATTTTCTTACCAACTGTTAGCGACAGAGGTACAATAGATATTTGCATATGGCACTACAGGGGCAAATATGTTACCAACACTAATAATTATTTCAAATTATGACATGTTCAATGTGTTGATAAAAAGCACAAATTCTACTGTTATGCACTGTTTGTTTTGATAGTTTTACTTCAATATAATTAGCTTACTTTATGCAATTAAAATATTATTATTCAATATTATTCTGAGATCATATGATATCAGATTACCTAAGGGGTGCTCGTCACAGAAAGATTAATAACCCTTCTAATCCTTAGCTGCTTTCCCTCACCTACAGGAAGACAGATAATTTCCACAGCAAGCCCATTTCTCTCCATTTTTCACCCCTGCCCATTTCTCTAGGCTCTGGAGAACAGCTGCCACTTTAAATTTTAACAATCAATAGTACTGCTCCTCAAACAAGCTAGTAGACTGCTTCACATGTGTGCTTCTTCTATTGAAATAATCTTTGCATGTACTACAGTGCTTCTTCACCTGGAAAACTTTTACTCACTCTTCAAGAGTCTGTCTTCCCTAAGTGAGGTCGTTTTCTCTTCTGTGATCCTAGGGGGCCTTACATACAAAGAACAACCACTTGTACCACACCCAGAATTTTCTGATTGCACCTATGCTCTCACTTGGACTTTAAGCCTAGCCTATACCAGGACTGAGAGGAGAGTTCTAGCTGTATTGCATGGAAGGGACTGAGTAAGATTTGAGGACTTGATCACCAAGAGACAACATCAAACATCATTTATTTCAGTTTTGCTTCTCTCTGATCAAGATTTTCCTTTTGATTTTGGCTAAATGCATTAAAGGTAACTTTCCCCTTGAAGGAAGTCAAAATTGTTATCAAACTAGAAAAGAATAGCATAATATTTCTATGTAGTTTATTTTCAAAGAAATCTTTCTACCTTCTGTCCTTACAAATTCCCATTCATCTCCCAAAATGTGAAGCTAAGAATAAGCTTTATTCTTCCCTAAGGACTGTTTATGAAATAAATTCAGAGAGCCAGGGAAGAAGTTTCTTTTTCATTCTGCATGCAGAAAGAACTGTCAATCCCCTAGAGACAAGAGGAGAAGAAAAATATTTGATTTTTCCTTGAGAAAACAAATTTCTTTGGTCTTCCCCAATAATTTATGAATACAAAGATAGAGACCTTAGTTTCCCTTAGTATTATCAAATTATATATTTAAATATAAATTAAGTACTCTGCCACTCTTGGCAGATAGCCAAGAAACTCTTAGAATAAAAAGGAAAGTGGTAGGATACAAGATGATATTTACTTATTAATATTACTATTTAATACTAGAATTGCTTGTAAGCATATTCCAAGCATAGTCAGACAACTCAGTTTTAGAAGATACATAACTCAGTCAGACTAACATGGCCTAATGCAATAAAGAAAGAGAACAAATTTCAGACCAGCTCCATAGATTAAACAAGATACAGAAAAAGTAACACAAAAATGATTCATTACCAATCTCAAAGCTCCCATTAATAAATCCAACTAGGGATGTTGGGATATTGAATTGTCTCTCTATTTGTGTGAGCATGGAATTCATGTAAGATCCAGATAATGTTTTGGATACATATGCACATGTTAATGCCAACAGAAACATCTAGGAAGAAAAAAAAACAACAGATATAAAAATTTTATATTTAAATCATATATTTGACATCTATTGGTAAAATATTCTCTAAAGCAAGACATATTCTGGTCCAATTTAAGTAACTCCTAAACTTACAGGAAACATTAAATGTGTTCTGTTCTGATCTGTTATGACATTATTTTCTCTCCAGGAACTCAAAATAGAATTAGTTGATTAGTGAGATTGAATTTGGTAGGTAGTTCCAGTTTGATTATTTTACATGCATACTTCATTCATACTGAGTAATAAGCAATCATTTTAAGTGACACACAGCTATTGATTCCAATGGATGTTCAGTTCTACAGTATTATCTGTAGTGTAAATGAATATATACAATTGTTAAAAACAAAGAATGCAGAAGTACATTGTTGCCATAGCAAATCTTCTCAAGTTTTCTGTTGAGGAGGACAGAGCTCCAGATGACCGTGGCCAAATCACCTCTTCCTCCTCTGTCTTGGAATTCTTGTGCAAAATGTACTGCACGCACAGTAATGGATCAAAAGTCCAGAACAATCTAAATTACACCATCACTGTTCCCAGGACTGAATGTTCTGTAACACTTGAGGTCAGCAATGCAAGTCATGCTCGTGGTATCTAAACCAAGGAGCTCTTTTGGGGTTCCTCAGCTGTGGCACAAAGCAAGACCCATGCACAGATGAGACTCCTTCCGGCCTGGATAGCTTTTCTGAACCTTGGGAACCCAATTCGCCATGAATCCTAGGCTTCTGTTTATCCTCACTGCTTACCTGTGAGTAATAAGTTTGCTTTGCCTGATGTATTGTTACATTCCTGTCCACTCTAATTTTCCTCTCCTTTTCATGTACAATAAATTCCCTTCATCTATGCTCTTGAACACATTCTTTCAATTTCTGAAATCCTGGCTCATTGATTATTGCCCCTCTCCTCTATTTGCAACCTTACACTTTTTTACTCTTTGGTAACCTCTTCCCCTCTAGCTTCCCTGTTAGATAGTTCCTACTCAGTTCTCTCCTCTTTGGCCAAATCTTTCAGACTTTTATTATATATTGTACTTTTTCCACCCTGCATATTCTGCTTAGGAAATAGCACTGTTCTACAGATAATACCTATCTTCTGAATAGCCAACACATAGGCATTTTCTTTGAGGTTCTGATTCTTATATTGCCAAAGTTTGAAGAAAATATCTGTTTTCCTGAGCCATTGCCAATTAATCTTTGTATACTGGTCCACCAAGCATTTCTGTCCAAGGAGCTGCTTTCTAGGAGTGCCTCCCATGTTCCTCTGTATTAAAAACCTGTCAAGCACGAGCACTGGATTAACCCTTTTTCCTAGCAAATAAGTCTGCACACAATATTATGTGTGCCTAAGAAATTTTAAATTCTTCCTTTTATAAGTCCTTCAAAACTATGTCTGATTAAATTGCTCATATAATTAATGATCCTGCTTAAACACATCCTCTGTTATAAAGCCAACTTCTTTAAAACAAGAGATAATCATTGGATCAGGTAGTATGATATTAATGTTAGACCACTTTTATGTAGTTAGAGCACTTTTACAAGGACTGAGTTAAAAAATACTGCATACACACACACATACATAGAGTCCATACCTTCACCTTGGAAAGACATCTTATTCTATGAGTTTCAATTCTTTTCTCAGATTCTCCCATGTTGTTCTTCTGATTATTCCAAGATATTTATGTTTTAAATCTTGATATGTCTTAGCTCTGCCTTTTTAAGGAAACAAAGATCTCATCAATCACTCACAAATTTATAAGTTGTCATTCTTTTGAAAAACTACTGAATCTGAACAGTATCATTATAATACACTGCATTATAAAAATACCGGTGAAGCTTTTGATTCAGATAGAGAAAACCATGATGTTGGAGAAGATTTAGGTGTTGAACTCCATTAAAAAGTTACTGTAAGTAACTATAGTTAATCATTAGTGAGGTAAAAACTAGTCCCATAATTTTTCTACAGTCCCTTGGTAAAATAAAAACTACATGATTAAAACAAAATTTTTCATTTCTTTAGCCAAAACAAACAGAATCAAAGTGATCTCCTTGGCATTACATGAAAATCCTTGCTTTAAGAATATAAAGACTTTGGCCTGTGTTTGTGCTAAAGATCTGTTTTAGCAGCCTACAAAGGCTCAGAAATCTCCAATGGGCCATGTTTTTCTCTTCAAGTTCTTTGCATTCCAAGATTTCCCTGGAGTCTCAGGAAAGGAAATGCTTTCTGGAGTCCTGTTGATTCACAGAAATCTGAAGAGGCATGGAATTTTAATCGTGGATTAGTGTAAGTAATAATAGATAATTTTATGGTCTGGGGAAGAATCCTACAACACCAATTTATGCAATATAAGGTATGGAAGAAGGTTAAACACACATATGGAGGTATGTGTGTGTGCGTGTGTATGTGTGTGTGAATATATACAATTACACACAAACTCATGCATCTAGATACATATATATACACATATCCATAGATTATATATGTAAAAAGTATAGATGATGTATATCTAATTTACATAATATATAGCCTCAAAGTTTTATGTGGAATATAGAAATATGACTTAAATTATTAAATTGTACTAATTTATCAAAGATTTTATCTATTTTGTGTTTTGAAAGTGGGACAATATTTAACACTAAAAATACTTTATTTTGATAAGTCTGTTTCAAGTTATCAGTATTATAGTACATCTTAACAGTATCCCTTGTATTACTTTATTAATATCCTCTGAACAGTGCCACTCAATAAGTAATCCTGAATTGCAGTGTTTTAGAAAACCTGTTTGACACCTCTAAATTTGTTAACACATGCATTAGGGCAATCACAATGGAACAATTATGTCTGAACTTAGTTCTCTTTACTGATTTCCTTACAGATAAAAGAAATGTGTATTCAACATCTACGATGTTTGTGGTAGTCATTGTGCTAGGCATGGGAATTCAGTAGTGAGTAAGAGTCAAACTACCCTGTTGAGAATGTAAATTACTTAGAGAAGTGTATATCTCTGGGGAGGGGACTTGGACCTCGATTACTAGGAATTTCTACATTTATTAGGAAAGGTAAAACTTTTAAATAAAACACTGCAATAGAATCAGCAATGCACAATGAAATGAAAGTTGTTTGCTACAGAGGTGGTAAAAGAAAAAATCATAGGTTATGGGCAGAAGTCGTAAAAATATTCTTGTCAACTTGGAATGACCGTATAAAGGGAACTATGCTGAAATGCCCCCTGTAAAATACCAAATGGCCTTAACTATAATGCAAATAAATGATAGCTGTTTTGTTAAAATTAATAGAATCAAATGATTTTAACTGAGTAGAAATATAGTATTAATCTTATACCAACTCTGGTTGAGTTATAAACCTCTCAACTTTGCTCATATCTTCCTCTGTATGCATTTACAAGACAATCTCTCTGCCCTGAGTTTTATCCTTTTTCCATTCTTCCCAATATCTGAACTCAATGCAGTCACTCTAACAAGTATAGGGAAGATAATTTATTCTCCCATGTCAAAGTTGTTTTCTTTCTTTTTTTTTTTTTTTTCTAGTACTGGGAATCGAACTCACGACCTTGCACTTGCCAGGCAGGTGCTTATGCCACTGAGCTATATCCCCAGCCCTTTTTTTAAATATCTTTTTTTTTTTTGCTTTTCTTCCGGTACCGGGAATCGAACTCAAGAACTTGCGCTTGTCAGGCAGGCGCTGTGTTGCTGAGCTAAATCCCCAGCTCCCAAAGTCGTTTTCTTTTTTTTTTTTTTTTGGTTTTTCTCCGGTACCGGGAACCGAACTCACGACCTTGCGCTTGCCAGGCAGGCGCTTTTGCCGCTGAGCTAAATCCCCAGCCCCCAAAGTCGTTTTCAATTTCAGGTTTTTTTTGGAGTTTTTGACCGGAGCTCCTGTGTAATTCAGGCTAGCCGCGAACCTATGACAATTCTGCCTCAGCCTCCTGGTGTTCTCACTTTTTTAAACAGCTAAAAATATGACTGTTCTAGATTATTTTTCATATTATAGTTGTAGGGCATAAAAGCTGGAGTTAGTGCCCAAAACATCACCACGTGGGGAATTCTGTAGTTCCTTGCAGGAACTGACAGTAAATAACCATCCAGAACAAGTTTTGTCACCATACCTTGAAGATTTGTTTAGATATTTTTACTATATTGAGAGATGTTTTATAAACAGCTGTCTTGACCTCAAAAGAATTCAATGGGAATAAATTAACTCTAATTTGTTTTCTAATTTGTCAACCTAGGCCATGAAAACATTTTATTGTTTTATATATATCTTAAACATTTTCATGGAGGAAAAACATGAATGACTAAAACAGACTCATTTTATTCAACAAAATTCATGAAGCCTAATACCTTATATCACAGTCATTACTGAACAAGCTGACCCCACATGAGGAATGTACATGAGACCAGCGCCAAACACCCAGACAGAGCCCTTTTGTTAGCCCAGTATTGTTTACTCAGTGACTTCTGCTCCCTGGATCACCCAAAATCACCTCAGCAAGTCCACGTCAATCATCACTGCTAATAAAAACAACTTGCAAAGCTTTATTAAGTGGAGAACTGTCTCATTTCTCTAACTCTTCAGCACTGAAATGGTAACAGATGTTTTTGCTCACAAAGGTGAGTTTCTTCCCGGGTAACCTGTCACAGCTCTTAAATTGTTCTGTTTTGTTTGTTTTACAGTGGTGAAAACAACTCAAACAACGCAAAATAAAACAAATCAAGAAAATCCCCCCAAAACAGAAAAGTTACCCTCTTAACAAATATTGAAGTGTTGTAGAATCCAGAGTTATAGATGAGATAAGATAAATACATTGTTTAATAGCAGATCTCTAGAACTTTTATGTCTTGGTGTGACTGAAACTTTACACCCACTAACATGCAACACTCTGGAGTTTTTGATACTCCATGGTTGCCAGCACCTAATAAGACATATTAGTCACAAGAGAATGCAACATTTAACAAAATGAATAGACAGTTTTGTTTATATACTATATTGACAAGTTTGTGATTATTAGAAATCAGCTGGTAGAAATGCATCCATTTTATTTCACCTCATTCTGTACCATTGAGTTAATGAAATAAAGGCTTTACTTGTAGTACATACATGAAGAAGACTTAAGAGATGATCCTTTCCCTGGGATGAAAGAGAGTCACACAGCAAAACTCTTTAAAAAATCACATACAGTATTTCCACAATCTTCAAATAGCCTCTAGTTCTCAGAAGAAAGAACAGCCCTTTTGGGCAGTATCCCACTGAAATGCTTTGAACCAATACCAAAAAAGCAAGTGTGTGCCAGCAACTACGTGTACAATCAACAAAGACTTTTTGTGTGATGCCTAGCAAATTACTTTATTTCTATTGGTTCATTTCTGTCAGAGAAGAAAACAATGAACTCTGCATGTCAGCCTTACAAATGGAGATTTTATTTTACTTTTTGTATTCAGAAGAGGTACTAGAAATGTACCACCAGTTCAGGCAAAATTAGGGAAGAAAGCAATGGGCATTAAAGTATTGCACTATAAATGGTTTAACCATGCAAATTAAAGACTGGAACACAGGCAACCCTTCATTAACAGTAAAAATACATTACCTATCTTGTTACTTTGTATGGGTGCTATCTAACTCTGGCCCAAAACACAGAGAAATAAAGTTGAAACAATATCTACTTCTGTGTTTCATCAATTCATATTCTCTACTGCAGTACTAGAGAATGATTAATTATAAGAGTAGCTATTTTCCCACACTGGTGACAACCAGAGATCTTCTTTGATTTAAGTCTAATGAGGCTCTTTTAAGCCCTCAAGGTCTTGACTTCTGTGTCCATCTCTACATTTTCTAAACGGAGCAGAGATTCATGCCAACCTGGTTTAAAGAGGACTCCTCATGCTTGGTACCTGAGCACCTCATTATTTGATCAGCTGCTTCATCTCTCACCATCCCTAGCTGATGTTTGACTGCTGGCAGCCTTCAGCAAGAGTTATGTCAAAGTAATTAGAATTTCCACCACACCCTGAATGTTTTCCCTTAGTAGTTTTCTGACCACCAAATGTTACCCTCTTTTTGCCTATAAATCCCACTGTCTTCAGATTTGGACCCATTTGAAGTTCTTCTGCGGTGTTGCAATAGTTTCTGAATCAAATCTGTTTTGATCACTTTATGTCCAACTCTAGTTTTTCTCTGAAAGCTACAGGAATTTTTAATTTCCTCAGGTTGCTATTTCAGTTATAATTCCTTTGTTTTTATAGACAGATTTAGATACAAAAATATGCATATACATTCAATCAATAGGAAGTAATGACGGAACTCTTTTTTACTCACAGAGAAAACACTTTCTAAAGATGCAAAAGTAACTGAAAATTCAATAAATTGTTTAGATTTTCCCCAGCCCATTTAAGTACTTTTTTATACACATTAACTGAAAGAAGGAGGTAGTCACATATAGCCTGAATGTTAGATTTGGGAATTCAGTTAATCCCAGATTAGTTTTGTTATTTACAAACTCTTTGTGCCTATTTTTCTTTCTTGGTGATGTTGGAATATTTATTTATGTCTACTTTATAAAATTCTTACGAATACTGATTTGTGAACCTCTCCTTAGGCCCCTAGCATGGTGTTGGAATGAAGCAGTCATTATGTCAATGGCAGTGATTATTATTCATTCATTCCACAAATATTTATTAAGACCCTAATGCATTCCAAGCACAGTAGTAGGTGCTAGGGTTACAAAGGTAAATAACACGCGCTTGCTCTCAAGTGGTTTTATTAGCTATTAGGCGAGGTAATTATATCAGAATAATAGTTATTGCCAGAATGCAGATAGTCGAGGCTAAGTAGTAGAAAGAGGAGATTAATGAAAATGCTTCAGCTGAATATGCAGTCCATCTGTCATAGGCTATAGCATGGCAGATTTAAGTACTTGGGCTTTGAAACTGAGTACAAGTTCAGAAGCCTGGTTTTAAACTAGCTGTGTCATGCCAGGAAACAGGGAGGTAGAATTTGTAGAGAAGGGAAAAGGATGTGGGGGTGGGTGGAGACAGGAGGGTAGCTAGGGAAGGGGAGGTAAAAATGATTATGGTGAGATGTGTGTATGGACTAAATCTCCAAGATGAATGCAATTATTATGTTTTGCAACCATATGCTAATAAAAACCTGAAAAAGAAAAAACAAACCAGCCACAGGCTTTTGTAACAATTTAGAATCTTAAGAAGGAGTCTGCATGGGGATATGGTTGACTGTTTTCTCCTTTGGTGATTTCTCTGTTGTTTCCCTTAAGGTCATTACATTTTTTCTATAACAGAAAATGCTCCCCTGCCAGCCAGCATACTTCAGTTTCTTGGTTGCCCAGGTAATAGCTCCTGTTCCAGTTCCGGTTGCTCCTGTCTCTTAGAAACGACTGGTCACTGTGATGTACAACTGGTCCCTATGAAGCACATTACATAAACCAATCCCCAATGAACTAGCCATTTTGCCTCTGTACTTCCGGCTTGCTTATCCATCATAAGCCCTAGACCACCAGAGATTGGGGCCTGATATCCTGGGAATGCTCCCCATCAATGCTGGCCAACATACGTAAATCTACCTCCAAATCCTGGGTGTTGTTTCTGTATTTCTGCTTGCCATTGTGCTTCCGCTTAAAAATGGCAGAGAGAAAAATAAAATCATTATTGGCACTGAATCTTGAAAACTGCAGCATGAATGCAGCACACTTTAGACGCATGTTAATGCTGTGGTTTTAACTAATTTTGAGGGTTGTTTCTTATTTACCTATTTTGCTTTCTCTCTGACACTTTTTTGTCTCCTCTTTCTCTCCCAGCTCTTTGATTACTTGGGATTAAATTACTAAATTAGCTTAGGACAGCAAACTTTCCTAACTAGAACTACTGAATGTGAGACCTGGGAAGCACGGAGAGTCACTGCTCCTAATTTCTCAACTGGCTGCTGTTTAAATGTCAGACTGAGATTAACTCAGACTTCTACTTTGGATTGACAAATACAATAATTGCTGAAATTTTGCAAAAGGAACAGTTTAGAACTCTGAGTAAATATCAAGCAAGATGTTCAGGGACTAATTTTTACCGGACAAGTGGGTATTTAACTCACCTTGCTCAGTTTACCACTCAGCTGAATACAATTTGTCAGCATAATTGTCTGGATCATGAGACAATTTTAAATCTTAAGCTGTGGTCATGTGCTGCTTTATTTGTACATCGTACGGGACATTAGGTAAAGATAGGAAACATGTAGAGCACTGCTGTTAAAATATAACCTAATGAGGAACATGAGGGAAGTAATGTTATTGACTTCTTTCAGAATTAGCCTGATCAGTAAATTGTATGCTTCTATTCAAAATTTTTAGCTAGTACCTAATTTATGGTTCCATGTTTCTGAAATACTAACAAAAAGAATTATATTTAGATGGGCTTTTCAAATTTAAAAAAATACCTACAAATAAACAAACAAAGCCCACTCCCATATTTCCTCAGTTTTAAAGAAAACTCAAATATAATGAGTAAGTTTACTGACTTTTCAATAATCTTTTACAGTGTTTACACATAAAAACTCCAAACATCATCAATCAGATTTTTCTTATAGTAACAAGTGTGTAATAAACTCCAATTTACTTTTCAAAGTATGTCTGTGTGAAGCCAAATGCATAACATCTATTTTTAGACAAACTTTTTGCTAAAATTGATGCATATGTGTAATTAACATCAGCCAGTAGTGACTGAGTGCATGAGATGAAGAATCAGAAATACTAAAGATGACTCTCGGGCATTTAGCATGGTACTATGAATATCTGAGTTGGGGAATATAGGGAAAGAACAGCATTAGCAGTGAGAATAGGCTCCATATTTGACATGATTAGTGCGGGTGCCTATGGGTCACCTCTAGGTAGGTAGTCTAGTGGGTGGTCAGACATGAGCCTGAAGATCAAGAGAGCTAGAGTCTTCAGCATGACTATGGCATCCACATGCAGAAAAGCAGAGACACTGGATCTGGAAGAGGAAAGATTTAATTGATTTGCTACTTTGGAGCTCTGTACACACAACCTTCTTATCCCATCAGGCTCATGTTTTCTTGGGTCACTGAGACATAAGTGCTATTTCTCTCATATCTCTTTAAAACATTTGCTAAACTAGCTATTCCCAGTGCTGTGATCAGTTCTCTGCACACAGAGAGCTATGACTCCTATCTTTTCACATGTAGCATACATGGCAAGGTCCTTTTATAGCAGGAGATTAATTATTATTTGCATCCACTGATTATAGCCATCTAAGTATATAAAAAGTAGATTTTATTGAAAGAACTTTTTTGCTTCTTAAATTTAATTTTTTTACACATTTCAAAAACTATTTCAAGATTTGTTAAGTATAAGTGGGTAATATTTGATAGGTAGGTGTCACTGATTTGTCTTCAAGGCTGAATCATTTATGTCATTATCACTGCAGGATGTGAAAACACTCATTTCTTATCTTAGGGTAGACCATAAAGCTCTTATTCTGCATAGGCTTAAGGTTATGGTAATGTGCATGACTAACTCCTGATTCCAGCTGGTGATGAGGGTTAAGTTTCACATTTTGCTTTATTTGAAAAATATGTGTAAAAGGACCACTAAACATAGTAAAAACTAGGCTTTGTTATTACATGGTGCATTGGCAGTTTCCTATAAAGAAGAATCACAGGGCATGAAGGAGTTGATACTGTGATAAAGTTCCATTGTTTCAGAACGGAAGTAGAATATATTTATAAAGGGCATGGGAGCTCTGGAATTTCTTTGGAATGCTCACCTTTGTGGGCTATTTCCAGAAATTGTAATATTTATTATATAGGACCTAGGCAAAAGATGGAGTTGATATTCTCCAAATTTATTGGTTCTATAAGGACCAGTATATTTTCTATCTTGGGTTTCCACAATTACATTGGGTAAGGGATTTTCACTGTAATCAAAACTTTCACCCTTTACACATAGATATACCTTCTTTTATCTGCTCAAGTAAAGAGACTTTCTCAGTATTTCCGAAGATTGAAAGCTTCTCCTCCTGAGGTTATTTATTGCAAGACAGCTCCAATGGCATAGTTTCCAAACACTGGGCTCCATTGTGGAAGCCATTTCAGTTTTCACTTTGGAGTAAATACTAAGAGTGTAACTCAATTAGGAAAGTTTATTTTGTTTTTATATCAATATCCTTTCATGTGATCACTTTTTTTCAAAGTAGGTATTTGTGAAATAATGAAAAACAACACAATCAAGGATTAAACCCCCAGAGAGTAATGTCCAACTTTCTAGACCACCATTGTCAAATGAAGAACTGGTCATGAGGGCACCACTGTAATTGGCAGAGAGACAAATGTCTTCGTTTCCAGCCACTTCACTACAGTTTGTAGATGATTTGATATACTATTAAATTTAATAGCATTAGGGAAATTTCTATTGAGGTCACACTGGTTACATTTTCCCCTCTTGTTAGTATAAAAACAGCCTTTTTGAAATCTTTGATTCTATTTGGGTTCACAGAACACACGATGTGTGCCCAGGTATTATTGATTAGACTTGTGATTTCAGAGGCATGCCCATCATGATTATAGGACTTTCAGTAATATGGAGTAATAGTTTCTGTGCAATAGTTTAACCTCTAGGCCTATTTGCCATTTATTTGTAC